GATCCTCCTCAGGTCCCGCTCCTGTTTCCTGTAGACTCCAGAGAGAGAGATATAATTCTACCCCTGTACAAATCATTAGTAAAACCTCATCTGGAATACGCAGTTCAGTTTTAGGCACCAATTCACAAAAAGAACATTGGGGAACTGGAGAAAGTACAGAGAAGGGCAACTAAACTGATAAGAGGCATGGAGGAGCTCAGCTATGAGGAAAGATTAGAGGAACTGAATTTATTCTCTCTTGAGAAGAGGAGATTAAGGGGGGATATGATCAACATGTATAAATACATCAGTGGTTCATATAGAGAACTAGGTGTAGAGCTATTCACCCTGAGGTCATCACAGAGGACAAGAAGGTACTCTTTTTTTTTCTGAAGGAAAAGAAATTTAATTTCCAAACACGGAAAGGTTTCTTCACAGTGAGAGCTGTGAAAATGTAGAATTAGACTCCCTCAAGAGTTGGTTCTGGCCAGCTCAGTGGATTGCTTCAAAAAAGGCCTGGATACTTTCTTAGATACACAGAATATAACTGGATACTAACATTTATAGGTAAAGTTGATACAGGGAATATCCGATTGCCTCTCGGGGCATCAGGAAGGAAATTCTTTTCCCTGCAGGAGCAAATTGGATCATGCTTTGCTGTTTTTTTTTGCCTTCCTCTGGATCAACTGTGGGTATAGGATTATAACTTTTTTTTTAATGGTTGAACTGGATGGACTTTTGTCTTTTTCAGCCAGACTAACTATGTATCTTTGAAACTGTCGGGTGCCCCCTCAGCATGCAGCTTGCTATGGGAGCACCCAGTAGGCGCACTCCCGAGCCACTGCTCTGCGTGTCCATTCAACCACCCACTGCTGCCTCAGCCAATCAGGAGTAAGTGTCATGGGGCTGCTACACACAGAAGGTTTTTAACCTTCATGCTTAGAATGCATGAAGGCAGGGCTTTTTTTCTCAGAGAAAAGGTGCAGGAACTCACCCTCCCTGCCCAACTCCCCACCCCCAACCACACCCAAACTCTGCCACCAGCCACACCTTCCTTAGAGGAGAGACGTATAGTGGTGCCAAATGTATTAAGTTAAGGCTTAAAACTGCGTATCACACACAGCAAATAGCTCTGGAATGTGTAACATACAAAGTACAGGACCCAGGAGTGTGTATTGTGCAGTTGGGAGAAGTGCATATCACACAGGGTGCAGAAAAAAAAAACCCAAAAGGGACAGTACTTACATTCAATGTGAAGTGTCCCTTGTGCTCAGGAATATGCAACATATAGCCCTGTGTACAGAATGCAGGGGTCAGGAATATGTAACACAGAGCTTCTGATCTACCAGAGCCCCCAGATCCTTCTCCACCATTGATTCCCCCAGTTGTACTCCCCCCAGTATGTATGATGCATGCATATTCTTAGCCCCCAAGTGCAGAACCTTACATTTATCAACATTAAACCTCATTTGCCACATAGTTGCCCAATTAAACAGAGCATTGAGGTCGGCTTGTAAATTGGAGACATCCTGTAAGGACGTTATTCCACTGCACAGCTTGTTGTCATCTGCAAAGACTGAAATGGGATTTTTAATCCCAGACCCTATATTGTTTATAAATATATTAAAAAGTAAGGGTCCCAACGCTGTACCTTGGGGTACACCACTGACAACCCTAGACCATTCAGAGTATGAATCATTAACCACTACTCTCTGAATACAATCTTTTAGCCAGTTTTCTATCCACTTACATACAGATTTTTTCAAGCCCGTAGACTTTACCTTACACATTAGCTGTGTGTGGGGAACTGTGTCAAATGCTTGCAAAATCCAAGTAATCCTCTGTCCAAGTATACCACCGCCACCCCTCTGTCCAAGTATACCACGTCCACCGCCACCCCTCTGTCCAAGTATACCACATCCACCGCCACCCCTCTGTCCAAGGTTTTGCTCACCTCCTCATAAAAAGAAATCAGATTTGTTTGACAACTTCTGTCTTTCATGAATCCATGCTGTCTGTTGCTTAAAATATTTTTTTACAGCAAGAACTCATCTATATGGTCTGTTATTAAACTCTCCAGTATCTTCCCAACTATAGAAGTTATACTAACAGGTCTATAATTACTTGGTAATGATTTTGACCCCTTTTTAAATATTGGCACCACATTGGCCTTACGCCAATCCAGTGGTACTATGCCAGTCAATAAAGAGTCCCTAAAAATTAGAAACAACGGCTTTGAAATGACAGAGCTCAATTCTTTAAGGACCCGTGGGTGTATGCCATCCGGTCCAGGTGCTTTGTTCACCTTTATTCTGTCTAAATATTTTTGGATCATATCAATTGTGAGCCAATGGGGATCATCTGGAGCTGTATCAATACCATGCCCATTATGGACAAGAGCTCCCCCATGCTCCTTTGTATACACAGAGCTGAAAAAGGTATTTAATAAATTTGCCTTCTCTTTGTCCCCAGTCACCCACTCTAGATTATTTTGTAAAGGGCCTACATGCTCGGACCGGACCTTTTTACTATTAATATATTTGAAGAATTTTTGGGGGTTGCTCCTGCTATCTTTTTCAGTCTGTTGTTCATTTCAATTTTTGCATATTCTGTTATATTCTTTGTAATGTTTAAACAATGATAATGTTCCTTCATTTTTATATTTAATAAAAGGTCTTTTCTTTTTATCTATAGTTTTTTTTAACTTTGGACGTAAGCAACATGGGTTTGATTTTTAGCCGTTTAAACTTGTTGCCTATGGGAATATATTTTGCTGTGTGTTCACATACAGTCTTTTTGAAGAACTCCCATTTCTGTGTTCTGTTCATCGATGTGCAGTACAGCTGTTTTTACAGCCATTGTTGTGTTTTAGTGGGGGGGGGGTGACTGTTAAAGATGTATGAATAAATATGTTTTGCATATATCTGTTTGTTTGTTTTTTCTGTCTGCAACAATGCATATGTGACGAGGTTTGTGTAGTTTACCAGAAATATTTTGTGCTAAAGATGTCCTTTGCCACCTCATAAAGTTGTCTCTTCATGCAGATGGAGCATCTAGTTAGGCTTTCATATGTGCCAATTGTCTCGGCCTCTCTCCCATCCAACAGTCCAATGGCAGGGCCTTTGGCCATTGAGGTTCTGGTATATTAAATCCAAACAATACTCACCTCGGTCCAGAAGCCGCTATCATTGGTCGGGCAGGGATGATGTCACTCCCACGCATGCGCAGGAGTTCCATCAAATTTGGCATTGCCAAATTTGAACAGTGAGCTGTACCTGCGTGGCTCACTGTACAGGGGTGGACAGGCAGGTAGGTAGCTTTAATGTAGAAGAGACAAAGCATGTCTCTTTTGCATTACAAATCATGCCTGTCCACCAATTTTTAATTTTTACTTAAAGTTCCACTTTAAGGTTTTATGCACACTAGGCTCTGCTGAATGTCTTCCTTCTGTTTTCCAAACTTGTTTACATGCTGTAGACATGTTCAGATTAATCAAGCTTTTGGCTGTTTATTGATTTAATTGGCCAGAATGTTAACTTATTAGCCATTGAAATGAATGAATGCTCAAGCACTAAACGCAACTAGTGTTTAAGCATGTTTAGACATATTTACACACGTTTAGGCATTTCAGGTGTTTTTTCTGCACTAAAACTCCTTTCTTGAACGTGATTTTGGTGCATTCAGATATCTGCTCATATTTGCCTATGTGTGCATAGAGGGGCATTTAGAGGCAGAAAAATAAAACATCAAATGCCTGTTAAACAAGAGTTGGACAGCTTCAGTGTGCATGAGGCCTAATACTGAATTCCAGGCAGCTTTACTGCTGTGAAGGCTTAGTGTCTTCTTTGGAAGAACTGGAGATGCTGTGTACGATTTAACAGATTCATGAGCATTAACCGCTTGCCGACCGAGTCACATAGGAGTAGGGCAGCAGAGTGGCTCTCCTGTGCCTTAGCTTATTTCCTCCTTGCCCTTGTGTGGTCTATGATCTCCAGAGTGTTCCTGTGTACTACTCAGTTTGGCTGACTTCTCTTAGGATTCCTGTTCCTGATTTTTGGTTTCCTGTCCCTGGCTCGTCTGATTACCTGCTCTGGCATCCAATCCCTGGCTTCTGTTTTGACTATGGTCCTGAACTGTTATTTTTGCTATTTCATTAAAGGTGTGATTTTAACTGCACTTTCTATCTGCCTGATTTATCGTTCCTGACAGTTCAGTGCTCTGTCTCTCTCTCTCTTCCTCTCTCTCTCTTCCTCTCCTCTCGTCAATGGCAGACAAGGAGAGGCAGAACAGCTGCAGCACTGGCTGTGCAGGAATGGCTGTAGCATGTATGACATTTTCAGTGACAGCCTGGCCTGTGCTGCAGTCTAGAGTTTGCTACAGACTAGAGCTACACATGGGCATGAGTGAAGTTCCTCATTTTAGGTTAATAAAACTTTGACTTTATAGGAGAAGTACAGCCAAAGCTCTTTTGGCTATACTTCTATGGATCACAGGAGTGCAGTTTGTTCTGCACTTCTGTGACCGTTTTCAACTGACAGCGGGTTGAAGCTCGCTGTCAGCTGACATTACAGAGCCAGTCCATGCTGGGGAAGGGACGTGAACATATAGTCGGGATCCACCCCGAGGTGTGGGTGGCACCTGGGTCAGCTTGTCAGCAAGCTGCTGAGAGCCTGAGCCAGTCACCCCCATCTCCTCCACAGCTCAGTTAAGTGAGCACAAGGGTAGGGGGGGCAGAGCAGACAGTGGTGACTGATAGTCACTATTCTCTGCTCACAGCAGTGGTGAGAACTCAGCAATCATGTGATTGCTGAGTTCTCATGCTTAGAGGCAGCGGGGACAGATGCAGCATTGGACCGATATTGAATCAACCTTGGAAAGTATAATTTTTTTTTAACCCCATTCTTTTAAAAGCAGAATAAAAGTCCTTGCAAAAATGTATTGTCCTGTTTTTTGCTACAACAAATCTCACATGTCTCTGCTTTTTCCTTCCACAGTTGTGCCAAGTCCTCTTCTGAAATTAAATGGATGAAAACCAATCCCAGGATTACTATGCTAAACATCGTGGAATGGTGGTAAATAGTACAGGTTTATTTTCTGCATTATTGTATTACTATTACCCTAAAACTGACATGAATTGGAATTTGGCTTCCAGGCAACCATGGCTACAGTACAATGTGGACAGGGGCACTCACAATTCTCAAAGCCCTATTTTTACTACATGTCTGCACAGTGCCTGAGCTTATTAAAGGCTTGTAGGTAAAATATGCAAAAAGGAGTCTACTTACACTTTAAGATACGATCAAAACTTACAAATGTGAATTATTGATTGCATCTCTCTTTCCATGATGTGATCTTATAAACTGATTCATCAAAATACCATAGTATTCATGAAAAAAGTATATCAGTGCTGTTGATTGTTGCAAAATGCTAAATTGGTTGGAGGGGGAAGTTATGGCTATTTGATCATATCCTACATCAATCAGAGAAAAAATTAAAGTGCGTGTAGCCATCATTAGTGTGAGTTATGGTATAGGGTTAGGTTAAAAGTTAGAATTGTGTAGAAATAGGATTATAGACTAATGGCAGCACAGTGGCTTAATAGTTAGCACTTCCACATGGCAGTGCTAGGGTTGCTGGTTCAAATCCCAACCATGGCACCACCTGCCTGGAGTTTACATGTTCTCCCTGTGCTTGCGTGGGTTTCCCCCGGGTATTCTGGTTTTCTCCCACACCCCAAAGACATGCTGGTAGGTTAATTGGCTCCTGTCTAAATTGGCCCTAGTATGTGTATGTATGAATGTGAGTTAGGGACCTTAGATTATACGCCCCTTGAGGGTTAGGGACTGATGTGAATGTGCAATATACTGTATGCATGTAAAGCACTGCATAAATTGATGGTGCTATATAAGTTCATAAAATAAATAAACTCCATATTTCAGACCTTGTACTGATATTTAGGGTGTAACCAGGGGTGGACTGACAACTCATGGGGCCCCCGGGCAATAGGGGATCATGGGGCCCCTGTGTCCTGGCCCAAACTCAAAAAAGCCTATGAAAAAGGTACCAGGGGCATCTCATGGGGCCCCCTACTGACCGAGTGCCCGAGTTTCCAAATGGTCAGTCCACCCCTGGGTGTAACATGAAACATGGTCAGCATGCACAGCCCAACCTGGCCCCCTGGTTTATAGAGTTGCCGTGTTCTCCCCATAGGCTGTAGGCTCCTGTCAGATTTCAAAGTTGGCATGGCTGTGCCTGGACAGCCACGTCATTCAGTTTGAATGGAAAAGCTAAAGGCCCGTCTGCCACTGCGGCAAATGCATTCACTACACTTGTGGACCATTGATAACTCCTCCAGCTCCGAAGTTGAATATTCATACCTCTGTATGGACCAGGAACTAAAGGAGAATTCTACAGAATTGTACCAATAATCCATTGATTTTGGTTACAATGCTTTGCAGGCTCAATGCAAATAAATAAATAAATGCACATTTTTGCTTTTTGCATGAAAGTGGAATTCTCCATTATGTGTTAGCAGTTTTAAACTGTTAGGGTCCATACACACTTTTGTATTGAAGTTATGCGTAGTAAAACACTATGGGGTTGATTTACTAAAGGCTATGCACTGCAAGTGCAGTTGTTTGAGATCTGAGGGGAACATGCAAGAAAAATTATAAAAAACAGCTTTTTTTTTCTTGCACATGATTGGATGAAAGAAATCAGCAGAGCTTCGTCTCATTTCAGAGCTTTGTCTCAAATCTAACGCAACTGCACTTGCAGCGCACAGCCTATTTACCTTTAGTAAATCGACTCCTATGTGTGCGTTTTTGCTCTCTCTCAACGCTTGCCACACCTTGGCACACCCAAATGCAATGTGCATTGTAGCACAATGCACCGATAATAAATTCATCAGGACCTCTATTTTCATGTTTTGGGTTCCGTTAAAGCCCATTAGTTTTGAACAGGCTAACTTACAAAAAATATTTATTAGCAAGAAAATGTTCTGCTTGAAGTGAATGGGCCTTAGAAGTGGAATCTAAGAAGAAGAATCTAAAGCCTAAACTTTTTTCTTTTAGTTTTGCATGAAGTGGGGAAGGTTTAAACCCCTGTCAGGCTTTTATTGCTGTGTGATCCCCTCTAGGGAAATTCACCTTCACTAATTCCCTTGGAAAACATTGTCACCCATACTGAGCGTGAGAAAACCCTAAATCTTGAGTTGTCTCCATACCCTGCCATTAAAGTGTTACTAGATGGATGTTCCCCACAACACCTACTAGGAAGCAATTGGTGGATTATGTTAAATAGAGGGGTCACCAGCAGGAAGAAGGAGGTCCTGATTCCCCTACATAGATCTTTAGTTAGACCTCATTTAGAATACTGTGTCCAGTTCTGGAGACCTTACTTACAAAAAGATATTGATAAGATATAACAAGTCCAGAGACGGGTAACAAAAATGGTGAAAGGTCTGGGGGATAGCTTCAGGAACTTAACATGTACAGTCTGGAGGAAAGAAGGGAAAGGGAAGACATGACTGAAACCTTTAACTCAAGGGGGTGAATAAGATTCAGGAGGGCAGAATTTTCTATATGAAACCAAAATCAAGACATGACCTTAAAGTAACTGGAGGAAAGATCAAAACTAATCTCAGAAAGTACTATTTTACTGAAAGAATAGTTGATGCTTGGAATAAACTCCCAGCAGAGGTAGTGAGCCAGTCAACACTAATTATCTTCAAACTTGCCTGGGACAAGCATAGATCTATACTCAAAAAAGTAAAAAAAAACAAAAAAACAAACAAAAGAAAAACAACCCCCCCAAAAAAAAAAACACACAAAAAAAAACCAACAAAAAAATGAGCAGACTCGATGGACTAGTTGGATCTTTTTCTGCTGTCCCTTTTCTATGTTTCTAACTCTCTCCTACTGAGGGAACGGCTCACCATCGCAATGCTCTGCGGAAATTTTAACTTATTTGGCAGTGCCAGACTAGTCCCTCCGCTGTTAGTGATGAATAGACTCCTACAGATATCAAGCTTGATAAAGGAGGTAGGACCTTGGAAATGCGTTGCAGTCCACCCCCACACAGCCTGCCGCGTTCTCCTGTTTGCCTTCCTATTAGTGCCGTGAGAGGAGAGATGCCGCCGCTTTACCATCTTGCAGCGGGTCCTTGCTTGTCCCCTGCAGCCCTATCAGTCCATCCAGATTGCGGTGAGCTGTATATCGCACCACCACTCTGACACCTGGAGCAGTCTACAGGTCTTTCAGATGTAAGTGAGAAATGGAATTAAAGTGTTGTTTTAACCATACACTAAGCTGGCGCCCTGCTCTCTTTCTTTTGTTTACCTTTGGCTTTAACTTACTGTTTTTTGTTCTTTTGGATACAACACGAGCACACATATTCATAGTGCTCTTACTCCCACTTTAAGTAACCGATACAAGGCAACTTCTTCTTTGAACAAGAACTCTACCTATTGCTACTTTACTGGATCAATTTGCAGAACACAATTGAGGTAGTAACATATCACAGAATAGTTCCTTTACATAAGCAATTACACTTTATACTACATTTGGCTGTGTATTACCTTGGCTGTGTATTGCTTTGGCTGTGCATTGGTTTGGCTGTGCTGTTTCCCTAGTGTTGCTGCCCATACCTACCTGAAAGTTAGGCAAGTCCATACACAAGTCTATCCACCTGGTTAGCTAGAATCAGGTCTCACTGAAGGGTAATGCTGCATATAGCAAGAGTTACATGGTACACTGGTCCCCACACCAGCCTGCACCATGAGGTCCACTTTCCCTGTATATACTGTATAGTCTCTTGAAATACAAGCGAAGACATGTCACACAATTACAATACAAGGGAAGACATGTCACACAATTACAATACAAGGGAAGACATGTCACACAATTACATTAAAGTGTTACAAAACCCAGGACCCTGCATTCACTCTATCTGGTCTCCCACAGTACACAGAACATGGAAATGCAATTATTATCGTAAATATAAACTGATAAATACCTTTTCTCATCAGCAGTTACAGCAGTCTTGTGACTTCTATCAGTGTCCAGCAGAGCACTGATTAAAGCGTGTAGGAGGAGTTTTCATTCTCCCCTGATTGTCCTATGAGGCTGCAGGACCCCTGACCCACTGTCTGAAAGGTGCTGATTGGCCCTATGCTGATCGCATGCTCTCTCCCAAGACAAAAAAACTCTCTAGCAGTACTGTACATACCTAACTAAGTATGTGCAGTTTGCCTCCAAGGCTCTTTTCTATCAGCAGATGGACTGGGGACAGTAGAAGAAGGGGAGGATCAGAAAAGATAGGATCAAACATCCTTTTTACACAATGTGGAGGGTTAACCCTTTAGGGTCCACAGTGAGTATAACAAGCATGCTTTACTGCATATACAGACTGATTTTAGTGTTGTGGGATTAGTATCACTCTAACTCCCTGTATGCACCAGCCACACATTAAAGAGACAAGACATTAACAGGAATAACATCACATAACCTGCCTACACAGTAGTAAAGTGGAAATCTTCCAATGGGGACACCACTTCCAGTGACAACTAAAGCTTAGTACACACTATAAGAAAATCTAACAAACGATCGTCACATTTTTCCTTGAAGGTGTGCACCATGATGTAACCAGGAACAAAGTATTTTGTATTCACATTTTTTACTATGAATACTGTACACACTGAATGAAAATTGGACATTGTGTTAATTTACGATAAAATTTTTCTAGATTGCACCTTCGGGATTTTTAGTTCGAACACCGGCTGCAGAAAGCACTATACAGATAATGGACTGATCGTTCCTCTTACGGAAATTTTCATCCGATTTTCTTATCGTGTGTACTGGCCATATAAGTGTATTAGCTCACGTTGGGGAGATTTCCTCTCACTTCACGTTGTGTCTCCTGGAAGAGAGGGGAATACTCACAAATAAGTCACAAATGACAAAAAAGACACTGATGATGTGGGGGAGGGGGGGGTAACCATTCCCTACACTATCCAAAATTTTAACAATGGTTTGACTTTAGGTATTTTTTAAGTGTTTTATGTATATGATGAAGTAGTGAGACTGGTTTTCCCTCCCTTCCAGAACTTGCCTTCAAAAGAAGTCCTGACACATAAGCTGTCTAACAAATGCAAATTAGCTTTTGATAGACAAATGTCCCAACATGCTCTCTGGTATCAATGACATATTTAATTTACCAATTATCATTTCAAAGCAAGCATGCCCATACACAATTATCGGGTAAATGAGCCTGTGTCTATAGCTACTTTAGGGTATGATGTCCTGAGTCTTTAAAAAAAAACTGAACCTTATGTATACATAGGAAGGAAGCCAGAATACAAATACGCGAACCTTCAGCAAATACTCAGGACTCATGCCCAGTTTTACTATGAGCGTCTGCCAAATATTATTGAGAGCAGCGTACCCTTCCAAAAACAATGATAGCAGACACAAGTTCAGGCTATTCCTAAGCAGTGGCCTTTTTTTCACCTTTTTATTTCAGTGTCACCAAATTTTCAGAATTGGCTTAATGGGCTACCCTGGGAAAAGAGGGAAAGACTATGAGGGTTGGGTTTGCCAGTTTTGTTGAGAACTAATCTTGTGTAGGTCAACCATGTTCATGTTAGGGATTTAGCGAGCTTTGTTTAAAATTAGTAACCTGCTTGTTTACTGTAGAAGAGAAGCCATTCAGCTACGCTCGCTGAATTTTTTCAAATAAATATTAAGGGCCTGTGTCACACTAGTGTATTGGGGTATTGAACATACCTTTATCATGTAAAAATGAGTCCTCATGCACACTGAACGTTTTTACAGCGGCTGTTTTTGGCTTTTGATGTTTTTTTCTACAGGCAGTAAACCCCCCAGCATGTTATCCTATGTGTCCATGCACACATAGACTGTATCCAACGTTTTGTGGCAGGGATGTTTTTTGGCTGGAAAAAAAAAACAGGACTAATGGATTTCTAGAGGAGTTTTTTAGCTGTAAAAACGCTCTAACACTGAAAAATGCGGTAAAATGCCAAAAACCAGCATTTTTGGACCAAAAAATGCTAAAAACCACAAACGCGGAAAAACACAGCTAGACACGGTAAAATGCCGCTAAACGGTAATGCAAAATCACTAAAAAAAGCTGGAAAACTCACGTTTTTAATGTGACTTTACGCAGCTAACGTTACCAGCGTTATCAAAACACCCCGTGTACATGGAGCGTGAATGGGAGCAAGAGACCAACCCTAATATAAACCCACATCCCAAATAGCAATACCAAAAGAAAATTGAACCCCAGGGATTTTGTAGATAATCAGAGACTGTGTAACAAGAGTATTAAAGAGTAAAACATATATAATCTTATTAATCTCATATGAAATACAAAAATATAAAATAATATAAAAACAATGCCTAAAGCATACAGAGACTGTGCATCACCTGCCCCCACATGGGGTGAATGATCTAGTGAAAGACCCCCTAGGTTCTACAGAGTATAAAATCATGTGAACCCAACGTGTTTTGAGGGAGGGATTTATACTCTGTAGAACCTAGGTGGTCTTTCACTAGATTGTTCATGTGGGGGCATGCTAACGGTCTGTTAGCTATAGGCATTGTTTTTATGCTATTTTATATGTGACTAATAAATCTGAATATTATTTACTCTTTAATACCCTTGTTAACAGTCTCTGTTTACCCATTAAATCCCCGGGGGTCAGTTTTGTTTTAGTACCTTTAACAAGTGGTATTCGTAAATGTATTGTACGTCATTCATTTTCAATGGCTGACACTGCAGCACAACACAAAATAGAACTGGATATAAACTTTTTTTATTTTTTAACAGAGCGCACCACAAATACAAATGGTTTTCATCTGTGCGCTTTTGTGCACTACAACACAAGTTCATTGCAGTGTGCTGCCTAGGTGCACTGGGATGCCATTCAAAATGAGGAGCATAGCACTGCGTTTTCATGACCAGCATATGCAGTCAAGATCTTGGCCCCCCCACCTGCAACTCAGTGCTGGCTATTACTATGATGGGTAGTTTTGGCGTGCGACTCGAACATGAGCTGCTTGTGTGTTCATTGAACACACGAACGGTACAGGCATTTGGCGGGCTGTTCGGCTGCCGCACCCTACAATGCACTGCACCCTGACAGTGCATTGTGATTGGTCAAATCAATGCTTTGGCCAATCACAGGGCATGGTGACATCACAAGGGGGCGGGGACAATCCCGCCCCCTTGTAACATTATCACAATTTAAGAACTGTCCCCCCGGCGCAGCTGTCAGACAGTGGGAGCCAGCGTCTAGGGCTGAGCAGATTTTTTTTTTTTCGGGTCGGCGGTGGAGGCGGGCACCGTGATTGATGTTGGATCTACTTTGGGGGACTTTCTTATGTTTTTATTTTTAATAAAGGACTTTTCAAAGCAATACCATGTACCGCATACTCATTGACATAGGGGGGACTGGGATCTGCCCCAAAACACCACCCCATGTTGAGGGCATGTGACCTGGTATGATTCAGAAGGGGGGGAGGTGCTCACTCATCCCCCCACTTTCCTGACCTGCCAGGCTGCATGCTCGGATACAGGTCTGGTATGGATTTTTGGGGAGATCCCCATGCAATTTTTTTAAAATTTTGGCATGGAGGGTTCCCCTCAAAATCCATACCAGAACCGAAGGGCTTGGTATGGATGGGAGGGGGGACCCTATGCCAACAATTCTTTAGGCATTCAGCTGTCAGCAGGGAACCCCGCTGACAGCTGAAATATGAATGAATGTTCCACTACTAAAATACCGCATGACTTAATAATAAAAACTCATGCAGTATTTTAGCAACTGAGCAGTATCTTACCACATACTCAGATGCAGTACGATACCACTCAGTAAATTGTCCCTGTTCAATGTCCATGGTTGAACTTTCAAGGTTTGAATGTTCGATCGTGAATTGAACAGGGGGGTGTTCATCCCATCACTAGTAGTAAGGTACTGGAGGTAGGAAAGGAATGAATCAGGATATTGACCACAAGTGTCCTAGGTTGCAGGACACCCAAGACGCTCAACAGACAAATTAAAAGGGAGCACAGGTACTTGGAGGTTCCTTCTGTGATAGGTCACTAGCTGTTTACTAACTGTTAGAAGGTTTTGAGTTTGCTTTTAAAGCTGAACTCTGGAAAAAAGAAATTCCTCCTTTGCAGTGGGACTCCCCCAGTACTACAAGGGTGAAATGCCCATTTATGCCAAGGGCACCTGTAAAAAATTAAAAAATGACTTTATCCCTTACTCCCCCAAAAGCTGGCTCTCTCCTCTTCTTCCTGTCACCTAGGCTTGTGGACTGTTCCTTGGTGTCCTCATGTACATAACAGGACCATTGTATTATGTAATAGATGATGGTTGGGTACCTGTGACTGCCAGAGTGCCTTCAAAAAGAGGCTGTCGGCGTCAGTCTTATAGCACATAGGAAGCGAGGGGTCCCCATTGTTATGATTCACCCTCTTAACCATTGCTATTGGAATAGAAAGTGATGTGAAATCTAAACTTTTTACTTACAGTGTGTCACGGAACAAGAGATGTGGAAATAAGTTACCCAATAGAGACACCTGTTCTGGTAAAAACTGTCCTTAGAGAGATTTTCTCTCACTCTTGTATATCAGGTGGAGGAGAAAAGTCTCCAATGGAACAAAAACATATGTTTTAAACAATTCATATTCTATCCAAAATAAAAGCTTTCAATTATTAGATTCTTTTTTTTGTCTTTGTGTGTTGTAATGGATATCTGTTGAAAATAATCAAACTTTCAGTTGTGTTTAATTTTCTCTGTAGATTTCTGATAACTGGACTGGATATAATCTGGATGTGTTCACGCTACCAAACCACTACGCTGAAGATCTGGACTGCGTGTTCATACCTCATGGAGTCATTGTAGACAGGTAGTTCCAAGAAACATCAATTTTATTGCAGCTTTAAAACAAAACATTAGAAAGATTGTATGAGAAATATGTAGGCTGCTACGGCCAACTTCTGAATTGTTGCAGCATTGGTGGCACATTGACTGTTGGGGTTTGTTGCAGTATTGCTGGTACATGGACTGTCTCAGCATTGGGGGCAGAAGGACTGTTGCAGCATGAGGGGGGGGGCACATGGACTGTTGCAGCACGGGGAGGAGGGGCACATGGACTGTTGCAGCACAGGGGGAGGCACATAGACTATTGCAGCACAGGGGAGGGGGGAGGCACACGGACTGTTGCAGCACAGGGGGAGGCACATGGACTGTTGCAGCACGAGGGGGCACATGGACTGTTTCAGTATTGGGACACATGGACTGTTGCAACACCGAGGGGAACATGGACTGTTATAACACGGGGGGGGGCACATGGACTGTTGCAGTGGGGGGGGGCACATGGACTGTTGCAGCATGGGAAGCACATGGAATGTTGCAGCATGGGAGGAGGAAATGAACTGTTGCACATGGTCTGTTGCAGCACAGGGGGGCACATGAACTGTTGCAGCACAGGGGGCACATGAACTGTTGCAGCACAGCGGGCACATGGACTGTTGCAGCACAGGGGGCACATGGACTGTTGCAGCACTGGGGGCACATTCGTTTCTCCCCAAAGGAGATTTCTCTTACTTCCTGACACAGTTTCACTGGGATAGGAAGTGAGGGAGAACTTCTGCAGTAGAATCCACACACTATAAAACGTCTTAGTGAATCTAACTCTTACTCTCTGTCCAAAAATGAAAAAAAAAAAGTTTTGGATAGAGTTCTATTTAAACATCCGAAGCCTTCCAAGAATCAACATTTTAGAAAATCCCAGCATCCATGTGCCCACGGCTTTCACTTTAATAGACAGAAGAACTTTTCAGATGGTGGATAATTTGAGCAAGGTTTGGAAACTCCCTCCTTACTTGTTGGCCTCTCTCCGGTGATTCATTCTGCACAGATATCCATTCTAATAAAAGCTCAAGACTCTTATAGTTGTTCAAATAGCTACTTTTATGTCTTCTGAAGGGTCGGTGCCCTGTCTTCCAGTAACCTCCTTCTCTTTTACAGGAATACTCCATATAAGTGGGATTGCATTATGGTTCGCTTACCTCCTCCACACTTCCCCTTCCACGATGGTCTGATAATTACACACACAGACATCTGACTATGTTTGCCTTGCAGGATAGAGCGGCTGGCCAATGATATTATGAAAGACATTGGAGACAATCATATCACCGTGCTGTGTGTGCTGAAGGGAGGATACAAATTCTGCGCTGATCTCGTGGAACAGATCAAAAATCTAAGCCGTAATTCTGAGCGCTTTATCTCTATGAGAGTAGACTTTATCAGGCTGAGAAGTTACTGTGTAAGTTATACACACTTTTATTTTTCACTTTTCGCTCTGAAAGTGGCTCTGTCAGGAAGCAGGACATCTGTGTGAGAAGACTAAGATGGAAGCAGCATTTGCTTCACTCATGTCTCTTGCTTTTTCTGGCACAGTAAAGCTAAATCTGGTCACCATGACACTGGACTAGACATGTACAGCCGGTCCTAGATGGTTTGAACCTCGGCTGGTTCAGCAGGAACCAACCCAGATTCAAACCATGTACAGGCAGGCTTAATGTACCCAAGTTGATTGACTGATCAATTTGGGTACAACCAGCTTGGGGGATTTTACATGTGATTATCGCTAGTAAATGTCATAGCTGCTAGCAATAATCACTGTGTTTTCCCAGTGGGGATGGCTTCCCTCGCCCCAGCCCCATCTCCCCCACACTGCCGAGAGAGCGCAATGACTCGGTACGAGGGATTCTCTTGTCCACACTGTCTGTGTTTATGGGTAAATCATGTAGTTACAGGAAAGAAATTCCCTCCATTTATGGCCTGCCTTAGGGGTCTATAAGAAAGTTTGCTTTGTGAATTCCACAATCATTTGTACAGCTGTCACAAATAATATAACAGCCGCTAGCAATAATCACTGTGCTCCCCCGGAGGATCCCCCACCACCCCCCTGCTGGGAAAATACAATGGCTCCTCGGGATGGATTCCCCTGTCAACACCGGCTGAGATTCAAACCGCCTATGGTTGGCTTTAGAGTCTACTCTCAAATATTGCCTGGTTCATGGCAAAGTACTTTTATGGTACCCCTATGGATGGTCATACAGGGCCCAGTAAAAGTGTTGAGGTAGAATCGGATACCCCTTGCAAGAGTTGGGCTATGGAAGACTTTAAAGAGACTCTATTATATTGCCTATTCAGGGCATAGTGACAGGTACTCTTTAAAGCCCACCCCCATACTCACTTATATTCCTCTTCTCCATGCTCCCCTGCTGCTCTGTCCCGACGTGAGACAAGAGAGTTAAATCCTGTGTAAAATCTGGTGTCAGAGCTTATACCTGGTTGATGATGTTACTCCTGCCTTGGGCCACTCGGGCCTAAGCACTATACAGTGGGGATCGAAAGTTTGGGCACCCCAGCTAAAAATTTGTATTAATGTGCATAAAGAAGCCAAGGAAAGATGGAAAAATCTCCAAAAGGCATCAAATTACAGATTAGACATTCTTATAATATGTCAACAAAAGTTAGATTTTATTTCCATCATTTACACTTTCAAAATAACAGAAAACAAAAAAATGGCGTCTGCAAAAGTTTGGGCACCCTGCAGAGTTAATATCTTGTACTGCCCCCTTTGGCAAGTATCACAGCTTGTAAAAACGCTTTTTGTAGCCAGCCAAGAGTCTTTCAATTCTTGTTTGAGGTATCTTTGCCCATTCTTCCTTACAAAAGTCTTCCAGTTCTTTGAGATTTCTGGGCTGTCTGTCACGCACTGCTCTTTTAAGGTCTATCCATAGATTTTCAATTATGTTGAGGTCAGGAGATTGTGAAGGTCATGGCAAAACCTTCAGTTTACGCCTCTTGATGTAATCCCCCGTGGATTTCGAGGTGTGTTTAGGATCATTATCCATTTGTAGAAGCCATCCTCTTTTTAACTTCAGCTTTTTCACAGATGGCATCAAGTTACCATCCAAAATTTGCTGAAATTTTATTGAATCCATTTTTCCTTCTATATAAATAGTGAATACTTGTGAGCTATTATCAATGAGGCATTCAGTGGGTGGTATGAAATAATCTGCTGATTTAATGTGCTTTGTGCGCTGGCACTTGCACAGACTCACTTGCTAGTGTATATATAATGTTATAAATATATAGTGCCGCGCTCCTACTATTTCTGGTATGGTAACACATACTATTCCCAAAGAAGAGGAGTGGCTATGGGCGCTAAATTCGCCCCTAGCATTGCTAATCTTTATATGGCGAAATGGGAAGATGAATCAGTGTTTCAGAATAAGAAAACAGAAATAGTAACATACAAGAGGTACATTGATCACCTACTGGTGATATGGAAAGGTGACAAAGCAGAACTCATCAAATTCTATGATGATCTAAATAGGAATGAGGCTAATATAAAATTGAGCTATGATATACATGAAACCTCTATAAATTTTTTTAGATATTCAAATTTTTAGAGAGGGACCACAACTATAGACTAAAAAACCATTTTAAATCAGTTGATGGAGATGCATGCATCCCCATAGACAGCTGCCATCATAAAGCGTGGTTAACAAATATCCCTAGAGGCCAATTTATTAGGCTGAAAAGGAACTGTAAAAACATGAAGGACTATGTAGAACAAAGTGGAATAATATCAGAAAGATTTATTAACAAAGGGTACAAAAAAGAAATAATACAAAAGGAAAGGGAGCAAGTAGGCTCTATGGATCGTAATGAACTGATAGCAGATAAACGAAAAAGAGAATACGGAAAAGGAGGAACTATCAGTAGTGTTACAATATAACACCCAGTACAAATCAGTACAAAATATAATAAAGAAACACTGGAAGATTCTAACATTAGATAAGCACTTGAAAAATAATATCCCAGAAATACCAAGGTTTATATACAAAAAAGCTCCCAACATTAGGGATAATGTTGTCAAAAGCATAATAGCACCACCTATTAAAAGTCACCAAATTAGTTTCTTTCAGGGAAAGGGGGTTTTATACCTGTGGTAGATGCTATAGTTGCATCAGATTGGTAAATAACCCCAGGAGAAGATTCACATTTCAGAATCCCATAAGTGGAAAAGAATATACTATCCAGCAATTCATATCATGTGACACAAGAGGGGTTATCTATGCTCTGAAATGCCCATGCAACCTGATATATATTGGTCGCACTAAAAGGATGCTAAGAGAACGAATAAAAGAACATGTATACAATATAAATAGGGAATACAAATACCATCATTTATCACAGCACTTTAAGAAATACCACAATAAAGATGCAAGTAAACTAGAGTTTTGGGGCATAGAAAAACATGTACAACACTGGAGGGGTGACAACCTAGTGAGGGAAATCAGCAAGAAGGAATCGAAGTGGATCTATGAAATGGGTTGTCTAGCTCCCAATGGGTTGAACAAGGAGTTTGACCTTGCATGTTTTATTAGCAATAAATAAGTATGTAGACGAAGATAGCATGTAATCATACTCTGAGGTCCATTAATCATTCATAGTCTGGGGTTGGTTTTATAGTATTTTAAAAAAATTTTATTTGTATTTTAATATTTTTTATATTATAATTATAATTTTATTTTAGCTGGTTTCACAAAAAGGTGAGCATAATAATACACATAAATGTACAAAGATCACATATCTTAAATAATTAAAATAAATTTAATCTAATTAAATATCCCTCTATTAATAAGGGTAAAAACAGGATCTACATAAGATGATGTGAGATATTAATTATATTATAATATTGAAAATATTAGGCCAGACAAAAAAAACGATAAATGGCGTCCATAATTAATGATATTATTTCCTATATATAATAGTATTTTTATTTTTTTATTTTTATTTTTCATCTGCATATTTTAATACTTAATTTTATATCAATAAAGAGTTTTTAATGATTTTTAGGTAGTCTGCCCATAGGTATACACTCAGCAGTATAAGGCATTTGTCATGTTGTATTAACTGCTATTTAAGAGATGGAACACAGCCGACCCGACTTGCAACGTCTGACAGACAGATATTATCTAGCACTCGTGTGGACACATAGGAACAAACACCGTGCTTTAATATAGCTAAATAAAATCACTGGGAAAATGGCCGCGCCCATGTGGGCTTCGGTAAAAAATGGCGGCCAGGAGATATATATAGGTGAATGGGCATAGTCGTGGCATCCAATCATTTCCCCCTGATGAAGTCACGTGACCCTGTGACGCAACGCGCAGGGGAGGGGCTCTGACGTCACGACGTTGCATCGGAGAGGCTCGGTGATTCCAGTGCAGACGGAGGCAGACAGCATTACAGAGGCAGAGTACTACTGTATGTTACCACCAAGGCTGTCCTGGATAACATCAAAGCCATGTAATACCGCAACTGGCAGCAATATATTTCCTTTACATACAAGGATAAGGCACCATGGTCTTTTTTCTTCTCTCTTTCAATTGACCCACATTCCTCAAGCTGATGAAAGGAGGACTTGACAAGGTGGTGACCCCAGGAGGGGAAGTAGGAGATTCCTAGAGAGCTGATCAGGAAGTCCATTTATGAGCAGCTGCACAAAGGGAAAGAGGAGAGCACAGGAGAATCCCTATAAATCCATACCTACCTTCTGGAACAGCTTATATAAGAGTATCATCCCATCAATCCTGGAAGGATTAAAAGCGTATTTGCCTGAATTTATTCAGGCAAATATTAAGGTGAGCGCATAGGGAGACCACTAAGCAATCGGCGAGAGGGAATAAGGAATCCACCTGCACACTGCACTTATTTGAAAGACTTTTTATTTTATGTATTTGCACTTGCACCTATATGCATGCTTTTGCACAATATAGATGGAGTGATCACAGCAGATCAGAGGGGCACAGATTTAGAATTGTGTTGATTTGAATTTAATTCTTTTATAGTCACATTCAATTAAGGATTGATTGTTATCAGTCACATTTATGAAGGTTGTTGATTCATATTTTTATCTATTTTTTTGATTCACCAGTTATAGTGATTCACTAGTGATTTATTATTATTTATTTAATATTGATTATTTTTATTCACTAGTCACAGTGATTTATGAATTGTTTCAGATATTAATTCATATACCTCAAGGATCAAGATATACATATAAGCAAATAGGAGCGCGGCACTATATATTTATACCATTTTTCCTTCTACTCGTCAGATGTTCCCTGTGCCACTGGCTGCAACACAACCCCAAAGCATGATTGATCCAACCCCATGCTTAACAGTTGGACAGAGGTTCTTTTCATTAAATTCTGTGCCCCTTCTTCTCCAAACGTACCTTTGCTCATTCCGGCCAAAAAGTTCAATTTTAACCTCATCGGTCCACAGAACTTGTTTCCAAAATGCATCAGGCTTGTCTATATGTTCATTTGCAAAGTTCAAACGATGATTTTTGTGGTGAGGACGTAGAAGAGGTTTTCTTCTGATGACTCTTCCATGAAGACCATATTTGTACAAGTATCTCTTTGTAGTAGAATAGTGTACCACAACTCCAGTGTCTGCCAGATCTTTCTGGAGGGATCGTGCAGTCAAACGTGGGTTTTGAATTGTTTTTCTCACAATCCTGCGAGCTGTTCTGTCTGATATTTTTCTTGGTCTTCCAGATCTTGCTTTTAACTTCCACTGTTCCTGATGACTGCCATTTCTTAATTACATTCCGAACAGAGGATGTTGACATCTGAAAACGATTTGCTATCTTCTTATAGCCTTCTCCAGCTTTGTGAGCGTCAACTATTTTCAGTTTCAGTTTTCTAGACAACTGCTTAGAAGAACCCATGGTGCTGATTGTTGGGGCAAGGTCAGATGAGTCTGGGCATTTAAAACCTTTGAGATTGACATCACCTGGTCTTCCCAGATGATGACTGAGAACAATCCATGACACTGGTAGGTCTCAGCTTGGCAAAGGGGGCAGTGCATGCTATAAATTCTGCAGGGTGCCCAAACTTTTGCAGACGCCATTTTTTTGTTTTCTGTTATTTTTAAAGTGTAAATGATGGAAATAAAATCTAACTTTTGTTGACATATTATAAGAATGTCTAATCTGTAATTTGATGCCTTTTGGAGATTTTTCCATCTTTCCTTGGCTTCTTTATGCACATTAATACAAATTTTTAGCTGGGGTGCCCAAACTTTCGATCCCCACTGTACACTGGTAGAAGGTCACAAGTTCCTCCATACTCTAAAGCACTGGGTATTTTGTGAAGGCTCCAATGGAATGGAAAGGAAGCATTGGAAATATAAGTCAGAAGGGTAAGGTTGACTTTTAGGAAACTCTCGTACTGTGCTTGAATAGGCAAAGTGACTGAGTCTCTTTAAAAGAATCTGCTCATTAAGTCACTAGACAAGTAAGTCAATTAGAGCCTGGTACCACACATTGTCTGGTTCATGGCAGAGTAACTTTACAGTATCCATAGATATAAGGATGGTCATAGATAGCTGATTAAAAGCTTTGAGATAGAGTCAGGTACAGGGGCGGACTGACAACTCATGGGGCCCCGGGGCAATAGGGGATCATGGGGCCCCTGTGTCCATGCCCAAACTCAAAAAAGCCTATGAAAAAGGTACCATGGGCATCTCATGGGGCCCCCTACTGACCCCCGGGCCCTCAGGCAGTGCCCGAGTTTCCAAATGGTCATTTCGCCCCTGGTCAGGTACCTCTTGCAAGAGTTGGGCCTTGTAGGGCTTTAAAGAGACTCTGTTAGTTTGCCTATTCAGGAAATAGTAACTGGTACTCTCTAAAGCCCACCCCCAGACCTTCTTATACCCACCTTTGTTATGCTTCACAACCGCTCTTTTCCTTCATAATAGCTGGGACTCCAATCCTGTGTAATCTTCTGTTAGAAGAATTTAAATGGGGTTGATGATTTTACCCCTGCTGTTGGCTGGTCAGGCCCCAGCAATACATGCTGGGAAAAGGTCACAAATTCCTGAATACTGAAGCACTGGATATTTTGTGAAGGCTCCAATGGACTGGGAAGGAAGCATGGCAAATATAATATAGGTTTAAAGGGGGAGGTTGACTTTTAGGAGACTCGTTTACTCTGCCTATTCAAGGAAAAGTGAGTCTTAGTCAAGGAATCTGCTCAATTAGACACTGGACTAGACTGGTAAATAAATTATTAAAGCTTCCTCTCAGACATTGTGGGGTTCATTTATTAAAACTGGTGCACTCAGTTTCTGGTGCAGTTGTGCATGGTAGCCAATTGGCTTCTAACTTTAGCTTGTTCAATTTAGCTTTGACAATAAAACCTGGAAGCTGATTGGTTTCTATTCAGAGCTGCACCAGATTTCGAACTCTTAATTTTTAGTAAATCAACCCCTCTCTGTTTCATGACAGAGTATCTATAGACATGAGGATGGTCATAGATACCCCAGTAAAAGTGGTGAGGTAGAGTCAGGCACCTCCTCCAAAAGTTGGGCTATGTAGGGCTGTAAAGAGACTCTGTCACTTCGCCTATTCAGGACATAGTGTCAGGTACTCTTTAAAACCCACCCCCAGACCCACTTATACTCCCCTTCCCAATGCTGCCCCATTCCCATGTACCTCTGTGAGAGTTAGAAACCCAATCCTGTGTAAACTCCAGTGTCAAAACTTACAGTTGGTTGATGTTGCCTCCTGCCTCATGTGACTTTGAGCCTGGCCTTTGACAACGTAGTCCTGAGCACTACATGCTGAGAGGAGGTCACATGTACCTCCATATTCTGAAGCCCTGGATATTATGTAAAGGCTCAAATGGAGCTGGAAGAAGGCATGGCAAATATGAAAAAATATGGAGAGGGGGATGTGGGGTTGGATTTTCAAGAGACTCTGACAATTTTACTTTAAATAAGTAAAGTGACCAAAATTACTATCTTCTGAAAAAAGCTTTTTACTTGGCTGTCATTTTGTTGCTTCGGCTTCATTGTTTTTTGAGTCACTGACCTGTAACAAGAACAAAGATATAAGGTTTCCTGAGCTTTCTCTGATGCTCATTTGCTGCATTTCCTCCAGGGTGTGACTTAGAAGTGTTGAATATATATAATATAAGACTGCAACCTCCTACTTCTTGTTCCAGTGTCTCTTAACAGGAAGTGAGGGAAAATCTCCCCAATAGGGTCGAAGATATAAAAAAAAAACCTGAAAGAAACCTTCTCTTCCCTACTCTATCCTGGATAAAACTGGAAAGAAATTTGGCTGGATTTCAGCTTTAATCCATTCTGAGTGAAAGGTGTCGGAGGGCGGACTAGCTGGGGTGTGTGTGGTCTCTTTGTTGAATAACTGGACTCCATAAAGGAAGTCCACACTGTTTGTGGTTTCTATTCATTGGATGCCTATTAAAAATAATTGGACGCTAAAGGAATTAAATTACCGCGTATGGTGACCATGCTTGTCTTATCCTGATCATAGCTCTGTACACGGCCATAATAGTTTGTGTTTGTGTGATCACTTCACTTAGCACCATAGTGACTATTACATGCCATGCATGCTTGTGTGTATCCTGCACTTCTTCATTAATATCTTCTATCTCATTTTCTGCAGAATGACAAGTCCACAGAGGACCTGCAGATAATCGGAGGGGAAGACCTGTCAAAGCTGACGGGAAAGGTATTTAATGCATCATTTACTTTAATATAAACTAAATCCACTTAAACATGTACTGAACAAAACTAAGCCCGTTCCTTTCCACTAAATAATTTATCTTCAGCCTCCAACAAGCTGTGATAGGACACAATTTGTACAAATACTTAAATACTTACTTGCGGTTTGGGTCAGAATGAAATAATATTACTTTAGTATGACTGTTAATTAATACAATTTATTAATGACATGGACTCAAACACCTATTTTTGAAAGGCCTAAAGGAGTTCATAATGTTCACACAATAATCATGTGAAGATTTACTTCAATTATTCAATCATGTGAAAGGGCAGTTGCTGTTTGTTTCATCTGTCATGATTTGCTCGCTAAAGTGAATTTTCACACAATTTCTGTTTGGACATTCTGAAATCCTTTAGTAAATGAGCCAGGGACATTCACCTGGACAGAAAGAGCGGCAGGGTGGCTGCATATAGAGTAATTGATCTCTCCATTTTTCACTGAATGCCAGATTCTCCTCCTCTCCTTACCTGCATAACTGCATTCAGCAGCTTCAGGAGAAAAATGGAGATATCTGTATGCAACTGCCCCCGCCAATCCTATCCAGCTTCTTTGTGCTGCCCCCAAGCTCTCCATTCCATGTGCTCTCTGGCCCCCAGTGCTCTCCGGCCCCCAGTGCTCTCCAGCCACTGTGCTCTCAACCCCCACTGTGCTTTTTCCTGCTCCCCCCTCCTTTGCAGCTCTGCCGCGTCTCCCCCCATCTGCCGGTTGCTGCAGGGGATCTGTTAGGTCAGAGAGCAGGGAAGGGGTAGGTAAATGTGTAATTTAACAACCCCTTCCTTTTCTGAATGGACAGTTAGTGATCGGTACCAATAAACTAACTCTCCCACGGCTTTGATCCCCACATCTCCAGCAGCTCTCTTCCCCCAGCCTCCAGCAGGGGGGACTAGCAAAGCGGCTTTTTGGTTTCTGACAGCGGGGAATTGCTGCAATATGGTACAACGGGTGTGTCCTCAATCTCCTTTCTCTGTCCCAAAAGTGGAACATCAGAGGTCTGTTTAGACCCCCTGATATTCCACCAAAGCCCCCCCCCCCAACGGGGCGCCTAAGAAAAAAATGTAAAAATAATTTTTAAAAATAATATTGTAAAAAAAAATAATAATAAAACGGTAAAAAACAAAAATAACAATAAAAATAAACAAAACTACTGATGGTGGCGGAACTACCAGGGTCACGAAGGTCACACCGGGCCCTGGCGTTTTGCCACTGGGCTAGGAGGGAAGGGTCCCAGTGGAGGGTCGGGTGGGCCTTTTATGGTTTCTTGCACCAGGGCCCTGAACATTCTAGTTACACCACTGAAATCGGCCTCATAGTTTCCATGCAGTTGGATGCACTTGCAGAACTTTCAGAGCTTAACATGAGAAAAGCTGTCATAGTGACTTTGAGCCTGAGTTCACAAGGAGCAGTGCGGGTAACCTCCCTGCATGATGAGTTCCACCAGCGAAGCTCTGGATTCCAATCCAACTGTGGACATCAGTGGCTGCTGCTTGGGCTCCTCCTGCCCCTCCCTCGGCTTTGTTCCCCGCATCTCCAGAAGCTCTCTCCCCCCAGCCTCCAGCAGGGTTGACCGGCAAAGCGGGTTTTTTGGTGTCTGACAGCGGGGGAATGCTGCAGTCTGGTACAGCGGGACCAGGGGGATGAGGAGGGAGTCCAGTAGATGGCTCAAACTGCTGGAGGCTGGGGGAAGAGAGCCACTGGAGGCTGGGGGGAGAGAGCCTCTGGAGATGCAGGAACAAAGCCGTGGCAGAGGCAGGAGGAGCCCAAGCAGCAGTTGCTGATGTCGGATTGGGAGCCAGAGCTTCGGTGATGAAACCCATCATGCAGGGAGGTTTCCTGCACCACTCCTGTGTGAACTCTAAGTCACTATGACAAGCCTGGGTTCACACAGGAGCTGTGTGGGAAACTACATGCATTTCAGGTAGCAATCATACCGCATTCCTGTTCAAACACATGTGATGCCTTGCAGTGTGATTTTAGACCCTTTATTTTGTATAGGCTTCCAAATCGCACCACAAAGGTATTGGTTTCAGGTTCAGGGAGCATTTGCACAAGTATCCGGTATCGGCACCAATAGCGATACCAGTAGAGAATAAAAACATCAAGATTTGTAACAATAAGCACTCCCAGTGCACATAATTTCACATAAATAACTATACATGATAACCTTTATTAACCTGTCTGGATGTAAAGTGGCCAGTTTTCTTAATCCACTAAACGTCACTTTATTTTTTAAGGCAATTTTCAAGCAATTCTGTGTGTCGCACATAGGGCAGCCCATTTACATGAATGGGCTGCCATATGTGCCTTTGTTGCAGCAAAGGACCAAATATTGACCCAGAGCTAATCGCATTTTTACACACATATTTTGCCAGGTGACAATTGCGGCAAAATTGCACCACATTTGGGGTGCCATTAAGGTTGAATGGCAATGAAATGTGTGTCATGCATTTTGTCAGAATATTAACTTGATTTGGATTCACGGTGCAATTCTGCCCACAATTCCAAATCGCCTAAGTGTGCATAGAGCCAAAATCGGCAACCGTTAAAACCCTGCTCAAACCCCTATGTCTGTTTTTTGGTACACCGTCCACAATTGAAAGGTCCCATTAACACTTAGGCAATTTGGAACTGCGGGAAGAATCAATGTAATTGTGGTTTCAGTTCCAAATTGCACTAAAATCACAGCAAAATGTGGGTTTCCGTAGGTGCCAAATTTTGGTCCTTAAGCTTCTTTTCCACAACAAACGCGCATAGGGCAGCCCATTCAATGGTCGCCCTATGCGTGAGACGAAGAATTGTGTGAAAATTGCCCACAAAAAGTGTGAATGGGGCTTTATTCTCTGCTGAGCACCAGAATGTGTGTCATTAATGCAGTGTTTGGAAATGGAAAGTATAGGCTGACCTTGCCAAGTGCTGTCCTTGACTTTTTGGGTTGTTTTTCAAAATTACCATAATCCACACGGACAACTGAGAACAATTATCAGCATTTTTGGAGAGAGTAGGGAAATGGCTGTACCTTCATTATCAGGATGGAAAGTGAGGGGTGGTCTTCCAAACAGGGATATATAGACAGCAAATAACACATGTTCTAAAGCTTCCCCCTCTACCAAAATCATTTTTATTTTTCTATCCTTATTGAAGAGATTTCCCTTGGCTTCTGTATCAGTGACCACAGTTAGTGGTACAGGAAGTAAGGCAAACTCTTCCCAATATGGATATTATCCATTTTACCTCCTTGATGACCAGGCCATTTTTTTGCTATTCGGCATTGAGCTACATTAACTGGCAATTGCATAGTAATGCAACACTTGTACCCAAATTATATTCTTTCTATTGGTGGTATTTGATCATTGCTGGGCTTTTTATTTTTTGTTATAGAAATTAAAAAAGACTGAAAATTTGGGGGGGAAACAATATTTTTGACTTTCTATTATTAAACATATCCCAAAAAATCTAATTTCTTCATTAATTTATGCCAAATTGTATTCTGCTACATGTCTGTGGTAAAAAAAAATCCCAATAGGTGTATATTAATTGGTGTGTGTGAAAGTTATAGAGTCCACAAACTATGGTATATATATTTGAAAATTGATCAACCCTGATGTTCTGACAACTGATCTCATTTCTTGAAGCCCTTCAAATTCCAGGACACTACAAATACCCACAAATGACTCCTTGGGGCACGCTACATGCCTCAGTGGGCACACAATGTGCCTCTAAACCTCAGCAGGCTGGGTGACGTACTTATGCATGATTCAGCCTGCACATGCCGCCCGCCTGCAGTAAATGTACCGTGGGCAGTCGGCAAATGGCTATGCCTGACCAAGGGTTCAACCCTTCCCCAGGCTAGGTAAAACTAAGACAAATCACTTGAAATGGGCTTTCACTTTAATAAAAATTATGTTCTAACCTCGTAACTGTTGATACCGTAGTGCTGCCGTCTTTATGGCAAAGAATGTTTTATGTGTAAAATGTAAATCTATCGTTCTGAAAGAAATAAAGTATTTTTTTTATTTTTTAGAATGTACTGATTGTAGAGGTAAGTGCAGTCATTCTGTCATTATCTGTATATATTATTTTATAATTAGCAAGATGGGAGAACATGTCAGGTTCACGTTATGCATAAATTCCTGATGTGTTACATTATACAGCAACAGTAACATTTTTCAGTTGCTATTATTTTTATCTTTAAAAAGCAGTCAAATGACTTTACCTAGGTTGATTCTTGCTAAAATCACGTGGAAACTCTTCTCAGAAAAGTGAAGGCTTCTACGGCCACAAATGTAGGACCAACTCTATATTATTTCCCATGGGTTTTGGAATAGGATGTCCATCAAGCTCATATACTGGAAGTTTAATGGTCAGGTGTCTGCAAACCTTTGGCCATATCCTAAAGCTGCTTAATATTAACACCTTCTTACCTGCTCTGTAGTTGTGCAATAAAAAAAGCACACTCACAAGCCTAGCAAATATACCACTGTCTTGCTGTCATCCGCCGTAACCATCCACTGCACCAGATCCAGTGCTGCCATCTTGTTTGTGACATGAGCAGGAGGCCAGCCATCTACTTTAAGTCTTAGTTTCTTGATGCTGCCCTGTTCAAAAGCCTCCTGGGATCCACGACATAGACACCCAGCAGTCTTTGGGCTGGGGGGGGGGATCATTCTAGCCTAGACCAGAAAGGCAGAAGTACTGGCTGTGTTCTACTGAAAAAAGATCCCCTTCCCCCATTTTTTCCAGCAATATACTAAAAGGGGGGAAGAGAAACCACATTGGCAAAAGAAGTAAGTTCCGCTTAAGTTTTAGTGTGTTTCTGGAATGAGAATAGCATTTTAGCCAGTCTGCCAATTATAGTCACGTGACATATAAAATAACTCCCATAGGCCACTGACATCCAGGAAAAGTAACCTCAGATGAAGGTTGCATTAATCAGTGCATTCAGCAAGTGTATTGCCACATTTGTCTCCTCTGCACAGTCCAGATGTTTATCGTGTTTTGTCAGATATTTTCACTACATGTATGTAAAGTATAGTGACCTATGGCACCCAATCAGATTTCATCATGCTCTGGTTACAAAGGAAGAGAAAAAAAAGGACGCTACATTCTGTACATCTTCTCACTAACAATGACCCTTTTTTTCTGATTGCTATTATTTTTGTCTGTTATTCAGGATGTTATAGGAACTGGAAGGACAATGAAGGCTCTTCTCAGTCACTTAGAGGCATATGATCCAAAAATGGTGAAGGTAGCAAGGTGGGCAGTGATGAAATGTGTAATCTGTTTTCGCCTTATATCATAAAATCGTTGGCACATTCTATTGTATAATCTTGTAAAGTAAAAAAAAAAAAAGTGAAAAAGAACAAAAATTAACAAACAAAACATTTATAGAGTATAGAACCAGCTATGCCAATTTATAATAGATGATGTATTGGCTGTACTGCTTGGCACAATTCTGCACTATTGATATGATAGTACCGTTTTTGGTTTTGGTCATCTTCTATACTGTAATAATAGGTTAAGGCTTAGAACATGGCTATAGAGGATTTGTTTAGGGGCTGGGACAGGTTAAGGCATAAGTCTGGAGGTCAGGTTATGGGCAGGGGCAGACTGACTATTTGGAAACTCGGGCACTGACCGAGGGGCCCGGGGTCAGTAGGGGGCCTCATGAAATGCTCCTGGTACCTTTTTTATAGGCTTTTTTGAGTGTGGGCAAGGACACACAGGGGCCCCATGATCCCCTATTGCCCGGGGGCCCCATAAGTTGTCAGTCCGCCCCTGGTTATGGGTAAAGCTTGAATTAAAGTGGAATTCCAGTTATACCCTAATGCTAAACCTATTCCCACCCCCATTCTAAGGATATTCTATCTAACTCTGTAAAGATAAGATCTGTATACTTACCTCTTCTGAAGCTGCTCCAATCTGGTCTCCAGCAGCAGCTTCTGTATAGAGGAGAGAAAGCCAACAACAACTGGAAATGCCTGGCAGATGACATCACCCATAGACTTAATATGGGGCATCTGTTGTTGGCTACCCCTCCTGCAGACAGAAGCCACTGCTGACAGCTCAGTCTGGGACCGGACCGGAGCGACTTTAGAATAGATAAGTATACAGATCTTTTCTTTACAGGGTTAGGTAGAATAGCTTTAGAATGGGGGTGGGAGTAGGTTCAGCGTTAGTTAAGTTATGACTGGAATGCCACTTTAAGTGTTTAGCTCTTTTGGTTATGTAGCACTAGCCCCTTAGCAGTCACTGGGTTTTGGGTCCCCCGATAGTCCTGCACAGCCAGGCAACAAGCATTTTCTTCAGACCCTGCACACAGGAAACCGTAAACAGTCTTTGAGCTTGTTTTTTTGGGAGGGGTTTATTAAGGAGTATTGAACTTGGATAGGGTTGAGGGGTATATGGGATGCTCAAGGAAACTGCAAATTGAGGACAACACCTTAGCAACTATGTACAAGTCCACAGACAAAGATTCTCTTCTTGGAGAGCTCTCCAGCCCTCCTGGTGTACCACCTCAGATGAATTCTCTTCAACCAGCTGCCCGAGGGAAGCCCTGAGCTAAAGGACCCAGAAAATGTTACTTTTAAATCAACAGTCACAGATGGGGGCTAGTCAGGATTCCCACTAGAATGCCCTCTTACTTTATCTGGTCCAGGGTGTTTTGGATTACTCATTCAGTCCTCTCCTGCAAGCTTGTGGGTTGATGGCTGCCTTCAGGCCTTATGCTGGGCTGGCTCCTTCCCTTCTTCGCAGGCTGTCCTCTCTTTGAGGATAGTTGAGACTGAGAGATCTTCCCTTCCATCTCCTGCCTACAGGTAGGCACCTCTCCTGGGCCCCCTCCCAGGCTCCACACTCCAGAGTTCACTCCATTTTCCATCTGACACTGCTCCTACTCCTGAGCAGGATCAGTAATACTTAAAGGCTGCCCTGAGCCCTATGCCAAGCCTCCTGATTGGGGATTGGCCATAATCCCCTGTCTAAGGGGATCAGCCCCTTCTCACAACCATCCCACTGCCTTCTAGAAACTTCTCAAGTCTCTAGAGCAGCGGGAGGTATCAAGGAACTGATCTGAAGAGCCCTCAGCCCTGACCTTAAAATTACCTGGCTAATTCATCCCAGGCTGACTCGTACCAGGCGGCTACTCAGCCTCTGACTGAAAACCTGTCTAGCTCACCCTAGCTAACTAGAGGGGCACTACAGTTAGATTAGGTTACAGCCTAACTCCTGTTACAGCTTTTTATTTATTTTTTCATCTTTATTCCCCACATAAGTACTCAAGTACTTTTTTGAGTTCTGATCTGCTGAGAGCTCCTGATATGTACATTGGGAATCAAACTTGCAGCTGCCCAGTTGTGCCTCTTGTTTTCCCCCTCACTCTGCTGTGCCATTCAGAAAGCACAGTCCAAACATCATTATGCTGTGCTTTGTAAACATGGGAACAGAGAGGATACACTATCAGAATTACTATTGATCACGCACCGCTCCAATGCAGTGGGGAGCTGGAAGTGCTACTCCCCCGCTGCACATATCAGGTGCTCCCAGCGGAGTTTAGAGAGCCACTAACGTACTAACAAATTGAGAGTATTTATGTAACAGTTATACTGTAGATTAAACAAATAAATAAAAAATAGCTGTGCTTGCCTGAAATTGGCTTTAGGATGTTGGGTTAGGTCAGGAATTCGTTTTAGGGGTTGAGTTAGGTTAAAGGATTAGAACAGGGGTGTCAAACTCAATTTCAATGTGGGTCGCATCATCATTATGGTTGCCCTCAAAGAGCCGGTTGTATCTGTAAAACTAAAAAAAAAGTATCTACTCTTCATCATAATAAATTATTGTCTTGGAATTTGATTATTATTGGTTTTAGTAATATCTTAGTAATAAGTAATAACTGGTTCTGAAAGTCTAGGAAAAATAATAGCTTATTCTTATTTAATTATAAGAAGATGTCCCATGCCCCGGAAGAAACTGGGGGCATAGCTGGGATGCAGAAAGTGCAGATACTGGAGGAGGACCAGAGGAGGGCTGGAGTCTGCTGAATGCTGAGGGTGAGGCAGAGATGAGGGGGTGGTGTGGCTGCACAAAGAGGCGCAGGATCTGTAGGTGGACTTCTGTTCTCTTCTCTACTGCCAACTGCTTGAGGGGGATTTGGCCCGTGGGCCTTGTCTTTGACACATATGAATTAGAGGAAGGGTTTGGGTTGGCTAAGAATTTGATTTAGGGGTTGGGCTTGGTTGGGTTTATAGTGTTAGATGAAAGGGTTGTATTGGTTAAGGGTTAGGTTTTAGCTTGGGTTTATCTTTAGTAATAGGTTTAGGCATTAAATTAGTTTACATCTAAAGTTCAAGATTTAGAGGCTAAGTTTAGTTTTAAGAATAGATTGACTTATTTTAAAATATAGGGGTTGCGTTGGAGTTGAGTACATTTTTCATTTTATATTACATTAAAATCCAGTTCCATTTGTTTTTTCGGATGCACAATTTGCTGGCAACAACATTTTCTTTTTGACGTGAGATTGGCTGATGGCATGAATACTTGAATTCTGTGGGATTTGCCATCTTTTCTATTTCAGCTAACATGATGTTCAATAAAGAATGGGCTATATTTATAAGTAAAAACTACCTGTGGTATAGAGTGGAAGGTCAGCTCTAAGAATTATCTGCTCACACTAAAATAATAGTTTGCTATGTACATTTTTGCATTGTCTCATTTTCCATATACTCCTTTCCTTTCTTCCTGCAGCTTGCTGGTGAAAAGATCCAGTGATAACAAATACAGACCAGACTGTGAGTCATGGAATGTGCCCTTCCTTTATGTTGTCTGTTGCTGCATTCCTCACAGATATTCATAATTAAACATGGTTATCAGGGTGCATTACAGTGAAACTATTGCCTAATGACAGAGGTTTAACAATTGCTGGCAGGTCAAAAAAATATTTGTGTTAGAATCTTTAGTGTATGTAAACCCAACAATTATTGGCTCCCTTTTAATAAGTGCAGAAAATTCCAGAAATCCAGTGTTGTTCTGTGCTCTCTGCAATTTCATCTCAAACAGTGTTATCAAAAGTGTGTTTGGACCACAAAAAACACTCCCTATTATGTAATGAAGGAGAACTCAATACATCACCTGTCCTAAGGTGACAACGTTACTCCTCCATAGAAATAGTAAGGGAGGTGTGGTCACCCTAGGACAATAAGTGTATTACTGGAAGGATCACCAGGAGAAAATAAAAGAAAGGTCTGTAACAAAAAATGAATTCAGCCACCACATCTTTAGATTCACTTAAAGGCCCCTGGAATAAAGGACCATCTTGCTGCAGGGGCAGGTACAGCATCCATTGGCGCTGCCTGCAGCCTGTCAAAGACTATGGCAGGCTGCAACTGTATGAGGCTGAGCACTGTACTGAGTAGTACCCACATTTAGGGTCCTAGGACTTCAGGTATAGCAGCTAGAGGGTTGAGACAAACCATTTATCACTGACAGGGTGCTCACAAGGATCAGCTTTTATTTATGTGAAATCTTTATCCCGAAAGGAGAAAAATAAACTGTTTGCTGTAACTGCTTATAAAGTATAAGCTGGAGTTCACCTTCAGTTTGTTAGTGTATCTAAGTCTGCTTGTACATATAGCACTCCCTTCCCCCCAGATTAACAATGCTGCTGTCCAAAAGGTGCACCTGTACTTCTTCGTCCAGATTGGAGGCACTCTAATACAGTAGGTGTGTTACTAGCCAGATCACAAGGCTAGTACAGAGGGGAAAAAAGAAAACTAATGCAGCCACCATATCTAATGATTGGTATTACTTTTTGGGTTTTGGGTTTAACATTGCTTTAAGACAAACCCCAACTAGATTATAAAAATGGGTTTGTGTCTGTCCCCTAATGTTCATTCTTGGACAACCATACTGTATGTGTGCTTATGGAAGAAACTTCCTCCCCACCCTGCACACACACACACATATATATATATATATATATATATATATATATATATATGAGACAGGGACATATATATATATATATATATATATATAATATATATATATATATGTCACTGTCTCATCTAGCTAGTTATTTAATAATATATATATAATATGTTCCAGAAAATTGCTCCACTAAATTATTCAAATGTTGGGGACTATTGTCACCATTTTTCTCTAAGAAGCCAGGTGCAAAATAAGGAATCCAAGTGACAGCTTACCTTGCAGAGCCAGCTGCATTGCCTGCTCCATCAGTGTGATCTGCCCTCAAGGCAGAGCTGTGTCTTGCTGATAGTGACATTATATGGAAGCGGCAGATATTAGAGTCTAGTCAGCGTTTTACGGCAGGCTCAGAATTCTTTTCACAGCATGCAAGTAATAACCATTCACTGAGACCGCATTTACTGACACGTGCTCACCTTTTCATTCTCTGTTCATTGCTGTCATACTAGAGCTTTGAAGTGTTAATATGTGATACTCTCCAATTTAACACAAAGCTCAAAATCTGCAAAACATCAACATATATATTCACTTTAAAGGGAAGCTATACTGAGAGGAATATGAAACTGCTGTTACCGCAGGCTCCTGAAAATACTAATTGCCTGTCTGTCTTTGTCTTGAAGGCTTTCTGGCCTAGAACAAGTATGCTGATCAGTAAATTGTAGAGAACTCAGAACTCTGGATTTTGCATTCTTGTGCTAGGTCGGTGACTCTGAAATTACGAAAGCCATTCTATCACCATGACAGCCAGGCATTTGGTATTTTCAGGGGTCAGCAATGGCAGTACAGGTTTCTTTTGCTAAACTTGTTTTAAATAGTTACATAGTTAGTCTGGCTGAAAAAAGACAAAATTGACCCCACATAATGACGCCACAAGATGATGTCCCCGTCCCTTAAATATTTAAGAACTTGAAGGCAGCAGAACAGTCAGACTGCTGGGAGCCAGCTTTTTTTTTTTTTTTTTTCTTTTTTCGGGTAGCAGCTGTGGCAGGCATCGTGATTGACATTGGATCTACAGTTGCAAGAAAAAGTATGTGAACCCCTTGGGATTACGTGGAGTTTTGCATGAATTGGGCATAAAATGTGCTCTGAACGTCATCTAAGTCACAACAATAGAAGAACACAGTCTGCTGAACATAATACTACACAAACATTAGATGTTGCCATGGTTTAATTACACATAACATGTAAACATTCACAGTGCAGGGAGGAAAAAGTATGTGAACCTTTGGACTTAATAACTGGTTGACCCTCCTTTGGCAGCAATAACCTCAACCAAACGTTTCCTGTAGTTGCAGATCAGACCTGCACAACGATCTGGAGTAATCTTGGACCACTCCTCTTCACAAAACTGTTTCAGCGTAGCAATATTCTTGGGATGTCTGGTGTGAATCGCTCTCTTAAGGTCATGCCACAGCATTTCAATCGGGTTGAGGTCAGGACTCTGACTGGGCCACTCCAGAAGGCATATTCTGTGCTGTTGCAGCCATTGTTTTGTTGAATTACTTGTATGCTTTGGGTCATTGTCCTGTTGCATCACACATCCTCTGCGGAGCTTCGGTTGGTGGACAGATGGTCGTACGTTTTCCTGCAAAATGTCTTGATAAACTCTGGAATTCATTTTCCCATCAATGACAACAATCCGTCCAGACCCTGAGGCAGCAAAGCAGCCCCAAGCCATGATGCTCTCTCCGCCATGTTTTACAGTGGGGATGAGGTTTTGATGTTGGTGTGCTGTGCCTTTTTTTCTCCACACATAGTGTTGTGTGTTCTTCCCAAACAACTCAATCTTGGTTTCATCTGTCCACAGTATATTTTGCCAGTAGTGCTGTGGAAAATCCAGGTGCTCTTTTGCAAACTTCAAACGTGCTGCAATATTCTTTTTGGACAGCAATGGCTTCCTCTGTGGTGTCCTCCCATGTACTCCATTCTTGTTTAATGTTTTCCTTATTGTAGATGTGTCAACAAAAATGTTAGCATGTCCCAGAGATTTCTGTAGGTCTTCAGCTGACACTCTGGGATTCTTCTTTACCTCATGCAACATTCTGCGCTGTGCTCTTGCAGTCATTTTTACAGGATGACCACGCCTAGGGAGAGTAGCAACAGTGCTAAACTTTCTCCATTTGTAGACAGTCTGTCTTACCGTGGACACATGAACATCAAGGCTTTTGGAGATACTTTTGTAACCCTTTCCAGCTTCATGCAAGTCAACAATTCTTGATCGTAGGTCTTCTGAGAGCTCTTTTCTGCGAGGCATGGTTCACATCAGACAGTGCTTCTTGAAACCAGTAAACCCAAAACAGGTGTGTGTTTTTTAAGGGCAGGACAGCTGTCAGCAACACATCCAATATCATCACACTGATTGGAGTCAAGGTTGCTCACTCCTGGCTCCAATTAGCTCTGGGAGAAGTCATTAAGCTAGGGCCTCACATACTTTTTCCTCCCTGCACTGTGAATGTTTACATGTTATGTGCAATTAAACCATGGCAACATCTAATGTTTGTGTAGTATTATGTTCAGCAGACTGTGTTCTTCTATTGTTGTGACTTAGATGACGTTCAGAGCACATTTTATGCCCAATTCATGCAAAACTCCACGTAATCTCAAGGGGTTCACATACTTTTTCTTGCAACTCTACTTCGGGGCACACTCTTCTATTTTTCTTCTTTTAATAAAGGACTTGTTAAAGACTGTCTCCTGGATTTTTTCACACTACACTTTTTTTTTGTGAATGGGTAGCAGTACCATGTACCCCATACTCATTCACATGGGAGGGGGGCAGAATCTGGGGGCCCCCTTGCTAAAGGAGGCTTCCAGATTCAAATAAGGCCCCTGCCCGCAGACCCCACAACCACAGGCCAGGGTTGTGGGGAAGAGGTCCTTGTCCCCATCAACATGGGGGACAAGGTGCTTTGGGGAGAAACCCCCCAAAGCACCCCCCCATGTTGAGGGCATGTGGCCTGGTATGGTTCAGGTGGGGGGGGCCTCGCTTGTCCCCCCCCCCTTTCCTGACCTGCTTGGCTAATAGATACAGTAAAGTAAGGTAAAAAAGTGAATGCTCTCTAATAAGCAGCTATAGCACTCAAGGCAACCAATATACAAACCTTATCAAAGTATAAGAATAAAAGTGCAGTGCTAAGTAACTTGAATGATCACTCATCCAGTGTAATACTAGCAATAAGTAATCATAAATAATGACCAATAAATTATTTAAAAATAAAGTGACAGTCTGTGCAAATGTAAATTCTTGATCAGATTCCGTGGTGGTGCTCCATAAGGTGTAGTAAAATTACACACTCACCAGATGCGCAATGATTGTACGCATAATATAACCCAGCAGTGGTCTCCTTTAAGGTTCGGGTCAGGGGTAGAGATAATCCTCCCTCTAGGTAAGTGGTGTTGTCTGGCATAAGCACGGAAGTAATGGGATCCAGCCAGTCAGAGGTCCCTTTAAGGGATGGATGTGTGCAGATGCCTGTGTACAGAAACTCCCTTCTCTGGTACTGGATGGCTGGATCAGGCAGACTCTATGGATAATAGCTCCTCAGGGGAGCATATAAAGAGTACCCATAGTGTAGTATTTAAGATTATATTTATTGGGTCAATAAATTATTTGTACAAATTCCAGGTATTAGATAAAATCATGCAGAGTTAAATTCAAGCAGCGAAAGGTAATGCAGAGTTATAGCAGCGTCAGGTAAAGGACTAACCGACCAGTGAGTAAAATAGTCCTTTACCCATAGTCTACAATCATTGCGCATCTGGTGAGTGTGTAATTTTACTACACCTTATGGAGCACCACCACAGGATCTGATCAAGAATTTACATTTGCACAGTCTGTCACTTTATTTTTAAATAATTTACTGGTCATTATTTATGATTATTTATTGCTAGTATTACACTGGATGAGTGATCATTTAACTTTTAAGTTACTTAGCGCTGCACTTTTATTCTTATGACCTGCTTGGCTGCATGCTCAGATAAGGGTCTGGTATGGATCTTGGGGGGACCCTCATGCCATTTGTTTTTAAATTTTGGCATGGGGGTTCCCCTCAAAATCCATACCAGACCGGAAGGACTTGGTATGAATGGAGGGGGGACCCCACGATGTTGTTTTATTATTTTTTAAATAATTTTAATGCCCCTTCTATGCAGCTGAGCTGCAATATGTAGGTGGGGTGTTGTGTGGGTGTGGCTAAAGTGTAGGTGGAAACAAAGGGGGCCCCATTATCTCTTATTGCCCAGGGGCTTCATTAGTTGTCAATCGGCCCTGATAACCACTATCCTTGCTGTTGTGCCAGGCGTTCCTATGATTTATACACCCCTGCCAGTTTGTAGTCACATGACACTACTGTAGTCTAAGTCTTCTTGGCACAGACACTTAGCTGCTGAAGCATAAAATCCCACACTTTCCTGTGCCCAGGGAGGAAATTAATACACCATTTATATTTTCCCTTAAATCACCCCCTGCAGCCTAATCATTATATGTAACCTCTTCAATACCAGGCACTTTTACCCCCTTCCGGCCCAGGCCAATTTTCAGTTTTCAGCACTCTCACACTTCGAATGACAATTGCGCAGTCATGCAACGCTGTACCTAAACTACATTTTTATCATTTTGTTCACGCAACTAGAGCTTTCTTTTGGTGGTATGTAATCAACACTGGGTTTTTTATTTTTTGCTAAATTAACAAAAAAAAAACCAAACACGTTTTTCTTTGTTATAAAGTTTTGCAAATAAAAAATTGCTCTTCATAAATTTAGGCCAAGATGTATTCTACATGGGCAGGGGTTAAGCATCTAGGGCAATCAAATGGTTAACTGTGTGCCTAACCAGTGTTTTTGTGTACTGTGTGTGCTGTTTTTACTAGGCAATCTGCTAGATTTTCTTTCCCTGCTTTGCAGGAAAAGAAAATCTAGCCGATCGCCACTTGTTTACATAGGCAGAGCTGTGTTCTGTCATTGTCCTCTGCAATCAATGGGGTCCGGTGCTCATCCACTGGCCAGCACCTATTGATCGGCTTCTGCTGTGTCCAAGTGCGCAAGTTCAAAATCACATATATACATCGTGATTTTGAGCAGAACGTCTGCACTATAGCAGTAAATCTGTTATAGGGCGGACTTAAAGTGGAGTTCCACTCACTCTGTAAAAAATAAAAGTCAGCAGCTACAAAAACTGTAGCTGCTGACTTTTAAAAAAAAGCCACTTACTGTCCCACGATTCCGTGTTGCCCCCACCGCAGCCCGTTTCACCGGCCGTCCTGCATTCCAGGCGCCAGCATCTTCAGTGTGGGTACCCGGCTGTGACATCTTGCGGCTTCACAGCCGGGTTCCCACTGCGCATGCGTGAGTAGTACTGCATTTCCTAAATGGCCCCGTCGTCTTCTGGGACCTGTCACGTGTCCCACAAGACTTCGGGGAGGGAGGGTAGGAGGACAGCTTCCGTTTCCGATCACCTAGGCGATCGCAGCAGAAGTGGGAGCGGGTAGCTGTCCAATTCGGGTACCCGCCCCCCCCTCTCCCCAAAGGTGCCAATCCTTAATGGGGAGCGGGGGACCAATCTTTAAAGCGGAACGTCCCCTTTTGGGTGGAACTCTGCTTTAAAGTGGTTAAAGCCTATGTGTGCATGGAAACATAGGATAACATGCTGGGGAGTTTACTTGCTGTAGAAATAAATGGCAGAAGTTTTATTTTTTTTTAATTTGTTCTATTCTTCTATCTATCTATCTAAGTGTTTCTCAACCTTTTTTTTAGACAACCACCCTTTAAAATTTTAGACAGTCCCAAGGCACCCTTTAAATTTATGGAGGCACCCAAATCTAAAATGCAAAAAACAATTCCAATAGTTTTATATAACGCAGCAACATCCACACATGTAGAACGCCCAGTGTTAGAGGTGATTTATTCTTCCAAAGCAAACACACTTTTGCACACTGGTACTGACTAGTATTCCATCGTTTCTCTTCTCCCTCAGTTTTTCTCCCATCACTGAGTTAATGTGACCCCAGCACTGATGGAGAGGGGCAGGGGAGGGTCAAACTAGGATCCTGTGCAGGCAACTGACATCCTTCTTATCAACTGATGATGTCATTGGTTGTTAGGATGCCAGAGGCTAGAAGGTCGTAATGGCACACAATGAAAACCTGTGGATTTCTGTAGCTAAAAGGCGGCCTTGTTCTATTCACTGGCTTGTATACAAATTTTGCGCACTTTTTAGACATTTTGCCAAGGCACCCCTGATGAAACCTCAAGGCACCCTGGTTGAAAAAGGCTGATCTATCACACATAATGAAAGCAAAAAGGTACCTACACATCAGTAAACAACTGTTATGTGTAAGTGGAATGCCCCTTTAAAACAAATCTCTGCACACACACCATGAATTCTTCAATACCTGTAAAATCTTTGTGTTATCTCTGCAGCCATATGGTAAGTAATTATTCAGACTTTGTCCACTGGGTGGCAGCTTGCTGTCAAATTCCACAGATAGAAGAAAATTCTTCATGTGAAGGGAATGAGTCTTCCTAGAGGAGCAGTGATTGGATAAATGCCATTTCCACCTTAGAGCTCCAGGAAAGCTACCTCTATGAGAGAATATATCTACATAAAAATAATTATGGAACAAAATGTCATAGTTTTCCACTCTGTGGAGCTGATTTCTTAAAGAGCAATACAATACTGATTTATTCTGATGCTGATTTTAAATGGAATTAAAATGAATACTTTGTGTTTTCAGATACGGGGTTTGAAATTCCGAACAAATTTGTAGTTGGTTATGCTCTGGACTACAACGAACACTTCCGAGATCTCCATGTGAGTATACTTACACTACACATCCAACCGAGGGGGATCAGGACTACCATGCGACCTGGTTGCAATGTGTTTTTTTAAAGTAGTGCATGCATTACTTTTGGTGCAGTGCAGTGTGATTTCAGCCCATTGAAATGAATGGCCTGAAAACACACTGCACTGAAAATGCACAGGAACGCAAGTGCATTCCTGTGTGATTCCTGGTGTGAACCAGCCCTAACATGTAAATCTCAGAATAAGTGAGCGCTTCAAACAACTAATAAAATCAATTAGTGAATAAAATGAATAAATAAGAAGAAAGCAGCTGAACACCAAAAAGGTACCATATAAACCTTCATAATAAGAAATGCATACGAGGGAGAGGTGCAGCGCTAGCTGAACAGATATACACTTATATACTTAATAAATATACACTGATATAAAGTGCTATTAAAGTGCAAAACGGTGGCTAAATGACAAATATAGTCCGTAGCGTGCTCAAAAATCCAAGAGAGTCCTTAAAGAGCTCCAATCCCTGGATTCGTGGATGAGGTGATAAAGATAAGAATTGCGCACTCACCAGATACGCAATTCAAGTGCGCATTTAAAGCTGATAATTCCAGGGTCCTCATATGGATCTGGTCAGATCTGGTCACAAAAGCCTCTCGCCACCTGGTAGTGTTTTCCACACATGGAAGAAAGGGGCCGCTCTTTCTTCAGAGCTTGTGCATCTCCATGAGCTGGCATGAGATGGATGCCAGCTCATGGAGATGCACAAGCTCTGAAGAAAGAGCGGCCCCTTTCTTCCATGTGTGGAAAACACTACCAGGTGGCGAGAGGCTTTTGTGACCAGATCTGACCAGATCCATATGAGGACCCTGGAATTATCAGCTTTAAATGCGCACTTGAATTGCGTATCTGGTGAGTGCGCAGCCCTAACATGTGCTTATAATGTTTATTGCACATCTAAACTTTGTGCACAGCTAAAAAATATTTGGTGGTTCTTGTCAAACACTGCACCAAAGAGCGTGCAATACTTTCTATATCACAGAGCTCCCTATATTGTGATGCTATCTTCCCCATAAATTGTCACCCACAAACTAGTGTTATTTACAAAGTACTGCTGACAATAATTAAACCATGCTATCCCCGTGTGCAGTCCAGTGATATCATGATAACATATATGTAAAAATGTGGACGTGTCTGGAAGGCATCATTCAGAGGGGCCTAGCAATCTGTCCTGCATGCAGGCTGCCTTTGTTTTGGTGTCTGTATATGCCCTGAGCTGTATGTGGGCAGTCTATAGAGATGGATGCAGACACAGTGACTGCATGGACATAGCAGCATGGCAAAATTTGACAGCTGTACTGGAGCGGCTGCATGGCCCTAAATGTAGACAGTGTGCACTCGGGGCTGTGCAGCCACTCCTGCACAGCTGTCAGATTTTGGGTTGGCCTTCCTGGCAATGATGTCCAGTACGCCACATCAGCCAATCAAAGATCAATCTGCCCATTCACCCAAAAGATTTTTTTTTTGATTGGCTTCCATGGATGTAGTTTCCTGATGACTTCTTACAGTAATAATATTGGTAAGTGTAATGGGTCATAGAGTGTTCCCTATATCCAATGCTATGTAGTGCTACCCTCATGAAGGCCACTTGTATTTTTGCCCCGGTTTCACCTTACTTTGCCCGCAGCCAGGCACAGTGTATTTCTTCAGCCAAATACACACACACACTTCTGCTCATTGCCTTCAATGACCAGTCTAGGGGATGTTTGTTTTTTGGAGTTTTATCGTAGAACTGGGGATAAGGGATTTAATAGGATACTCCAAAATTAGAACTATTCACACCGACGACATCTAGCTGATCTCTTAGTTGAGTACAATTGAAGTCCTAAATAAATAAAAGTGCAGCGCTTAAAAAAGTGACAAATAATCATAAAGAAACAGTGAAAGGTGTATCAAAAAAGTAGTCCATCCAAAAATGAAAGGAAAGTCCCAGATTGAAGTCCTGACTGAAAGCAGAAAGCAGACTTGTGTTTAAAGGATAGAAACAAATAGTTTCAGGAGTGAGCTAAGTCCTGTTAGTAGTAGTGGTAGTTACAGGGCTAAGCTCCTCAGGTACCGGCTTGTTACGGTGGACTATAGCAGTCCAGAAGTAATAGAACTGAGCAAAGTCCTTTGCGGTAGCACCCGTTGGACAAGCTCTTCAGAACACTAGCCAGTGTTCCCTTTTCTCAGACCCATGCTGGCTATCATGCACCCAAGGGGCAGCAAGCACACAAACTCCCCAAGATCTCTGTGTCTGTACTTACAAGTCCATGGACAGAATGGTTGCCTCCTTCCAATCTTTCAAGTGACTCTCTCCAGTGATACCAGACAGATCTTTGGCAGACAGCTCCCCTCGGTCAGCGTAGTGTAGGACCTGGGTCACTCTCTCTAACTTCAGGCCCTCAGGTCACCCACCTGAGGACACATGGCAGCAAGTGACAGGAGAGGCAGCCTGCCTCCAGCCTGGCTTGGTGCAATCCACTCCAGGAAAAGACCCAGAGCCCATGTGCTCCCAGAACATAAATACAACTCCCAGCATTGAATGGGGTCACCCACCCCTACAGTTGGCCAGGTTGTATCCATATTCATGCTGTTTATTTGCCTAGCCCCTTCTTATGTTCTGGAAGGCTCTCTCAGACCTAACCAAACAATCACAGCTCTCTGTTAAGCAGAATACCACACTAAATTTACCTCACAGCCTCTCTGGTAAGCAGAGAAGCACAGCTATGCTATTCTAACTATACAAATCCTAGCACCTAGGAGGAGCTGCTAAATCTATTATTAAGGGGACTATGTCACAAAGCCCAATGCCTGTCCTAGAAGCCTTTGATAGAAGCTGCCATCCTCTGGCTTGCAGGCCTCATACTAGTTTGAAGGCAATAATCTCACTCTTGATGAACCTGAGGTCATCACCGCAAATATGCAGTCTGGAAGGCTAGGATAAGCTGCTTACATCAGACTTTTTACGACAGATTTCCTTTAAATAAATATACATTTTTTATGATTTATTTTTGTTTATGCCTTTAAATATCTCAAATCTCTTCAAAGTACTCTTAGGAGCTAATGCTATTTGTTTTCTGCATGGGCCTATTTGTTTTCAGCCTTTGTTGCTTTTGGCGCAAGGTAACAAAAGTTTAAGGATTTAAGTTAGGTTTAGGGGGGTTTTGCACCTGCTGGTGCTAAGATTAGAATTTAGAGAAGTTGTGACCAATTTGAGGTATAAGGAACCACATAATATTCAGTCTATGTATGTAATGCTTTGGAAGACCAGACTGTGGATGTGTGACAAGTGGTGGGAAACTGAACATTCTACAAGAGACAGTCAGAGACTGGAGACTTGTTGCATGAGACTGCTAGATCCCATCCGCTTACAACCTTCTTACAAATTCGAGTTCCCACTCACACCAATGACTGCTGGTGTCTAAGGGCCACACAACAAGAACCAAAAGGAGTACAAGTGGCTCTTTGGCAACAGGTTGGAACCCAGAGGTTTAGAAGGATAGGATTAGAGTGCTAAGGGAAGGCTACATTTTAAAGTGAACCTGAATTCAAATGAAGATTTTCTATATTATAGGGAAAATTTGAAAGCTGTAATTGAGCCTAAGAAATACTCTGAAAGATATACCTTTTTATCTTGAATTCCTCCTGAAAAACACAGTTGCATTTCCTACTGTATGAGTTTCCTGAGACACCCCCAAAGACTTATACTGTAGCTGTACATCTGCTGTGTGAAATATGGTGATGGCACAACAGTTCTGCTCATTGTACTCTATGCTGGAGGATTTGACATACGGAAGTAAAGCCCTGCCTTTTCCAAAATGGCCACCTCCACACAGAGACAATGTGCAGAACATGGCATGGTACTGTAAGTCAGTAATGGGGAAAGATCAGCTGTAGGGAGACCACAAGCAATGCTGGTGACTAGTCCTTTGTCTTTTGACTGACTTTTGGGCACAGCTTCCAGAGTTTAGATCCTCATTAAATCCTCATTGTTTATCATGAACTTTTATTATTTATTTATTTTTTTATTGGATTCCCAATAGGACAAATAACCTTTAGTACCTTGTACTATCTTCTTGGGTGACTTGTAACACTAGCGATGTGGGAAAGGGCAACCCCCTCCTTGGCACACAACAGCCCAACAACGCACCTAGTTATTGGAAGGCTGTTTTGCTTTGTAGCACCTTTCTCTGGCTCCCAGCACTAACAAGAGGAATTTAGAGGAATGTTGAGGCTTGCCAGGGACAGGTGCTACAAAGAAAAGCAGCAGTCTCCTTGCTAAATGCGTTGCAGGGAGTTGTGCACCATGTGGGGGTGACCTGTCCAACATCTCAGCTCGTGTTCCAGGGCACCTAGGGAAATGAGACAAAGTATTACATGTACTTTGTCTCATGGGGAATTAAATTGTAAAAATAGTGATCATTCACCTGAGTCTATGTGTGTAAATGCAAAGGCTATTTCAATAAAAACTTTGAATACCACTTCATGTCCTCCACTCCTGCCACCCCATGTAAGCAACAACAGTAAAACTCTACAGTTGCTTACCTCCACCTCACAGAATAAAGTATGTTTGAATATAATACTCTAAGAGATAATCATTCTGCTTAAAGTGTTACTAAACCCAGGACCCCGCATTCACTATATCTGGTCTCCCACAGTACACACAACATGGAAATGCAATTAATGTAATAATGATAAACTGCTAAATACCTTTTCTCATCAGCAGTATATAACAGTCTTGTGACTTCTATCAGTGTCCAGCTGAGCACCAGTTAATCTTGTAGGAGGAGCTGTCATTCTCCTTTGACTGTCCTATGAGGCTGCATGACCCCTGACCCTGTCTGGACAGTGCAGATTGGCCCTGTGCTGATCACATGCACCCTCCTTCCCCCCAAAAAAATAAACTCTAGCAATACACATCAAACTGAGCATGTGCAGGGTGTCTCCTAGAGGCCTGTATAGCAGATGGACTGGGGACTGTGGAAGAAGGGGAGGATAAGAGAAGACAGGATCAAACAGCCTTTTTACATAAAGCGGAGGATTAACCCATTAGGTTCCACAGTGAGTATATTAAGCATGCTTTACTGCATATACAGACTGCTGTTGATTTAGTAACACTTTAAGAAAAAGTATATTAGGACCTTTCAGTAGTATATGGAGATGTCGGAGAATGGGATCAATTAGGTTACATTCACACGGCAATGTAGCCGCAGCTAGTTTGCTGAGATCAGTAACGGCTAAACACAGCTTCTGTGCAAAGGCCACATACAACCTGGCCAAGTAGCTGTGGCCAGCTCTGCAGAAATGCTGATCTTGGAAACACGCTGTCTGTATCCAGGTTCAGTACTCGCATGTAACAGTTCGGATGAGCAATTACACGTGAAGAGCAATGGCACTTAACATTGATGTGTACAGTGTGCAAATCTGACAGCCGCCACTGACAGCTGCTGCTGCTAGTTGCACACAGTGTGTACAGGCAACTTTCACAACCACGGGCAAGAGTCTACTAATTCTTGCTGGCGGCTGTCCCTGGCTGCAAACAGACTGCTGTGTAAATGTATCCTTCTAGAAATGTGACCCTATCTTGGTTAGTACATGAAAAAGTCCAAGGCACTGGGTATAACAAGAAATATAAATCTCCTATAAATTACATACTTTTCTTTTAGCTCCTGCTTTTTGGTAGGTTTTTTCTCAGTTATTGCATTGTTTTACATCCACAAGACACAAGGGATAAAAATAATCCATTGCTGCAATCTGCACGTTAAAATGATTTCATTAATTAGGACGTTGAGTGAAGACATCCATGAATCGCCTTGGAAACCAAATGCAAGTGGGAAGATTAGACCTATAACTCGTTACTGATCTAATCATCACCACAAGGTGTTGAATTTAATTTTCCCAAGTACAGTTTATTTCTATCTAAGCTGGTTAATGCACTGTCATTTTACACTATTTTCCGGATAATTCAATAAGGTGCTGCAAAAATGTCACATTAATATGCAAAGTTCTGGCTATGGTTTTAAAGTGTTACTAAACCCACAACAGTAAAATCAGTCTGTATATGCAGTAAAGCATGCTTGTTATATTCACTGTGGAACCTAAGGGGTTAATCCTCTGCATTGTGTAAAAAGGCTGTTTGACCCTGTCTTCTCTGATCCTCCCCTTCTTCCAGTGTCCCCCTCTTAGCAACTGATAAGACATATCGTGGGGAGTCACTCTACACATTGCTCAATTTGGTGTGTATTGGTAGAGAGGGTTTTTTTTTTTTCTTGGGAGAGTGCATGTGATCAGAACAGGACCAGTCAGCACTGTTCAGACAGAGGTCAGGGGTTCTGCATCTTCCTAGAGCAGGATGAAAACTCCTCATACAAGCTTTAACCAGTGCTCAGCTGGACACTGATAGAAGTCACAAAACTGCTATATACTGCTGATGAGGAAAGATTTTTAGCAGTTTATATTTACTAAAATAATTGCATTTCCATGTTCTGTGTACTGTGGGAGACCAGATATAGTAAATGCAGGGTCCTGGGTTTAGTAACACTTTAAATGCTAGGGTAAGTGTTAGAGGTGAAGTTTAAGCTAAGCTAAAATTCTACAATAAATCGGCCTCTGCAAAGATTGTATTGAATATCCAATTCTCTTGCTGACTGAACCACTGATCTCTGCATAACTGGTGAGAAACTACCAGCTGGAGATCCTGCAGAGTCCGACACTTTCAAGAGTGGTTCAATCCATTGGCCCCACATTAGTACAGGACACAGTAGTGACATAAGGTTGGTGGATCAAACCACCTAATATATCAGGGGACCAGGAATCAGGCAATCTCAGAACTGTCTGTTCTTCAAGATTTTTAGTCGGCAGGATCACTTCACTCCTGCAGAGATCTCTGGCACAGAAAGCAGGAAGAGTAAGTATTCCATGCCTTCTATTCAAGGAGCATTCTACTCTTAAGTTGCTTTTAAGCATTACTAAAATCTGACATTAATTACAGCAGGCTCATATCTAGGGGGGTGCTGGGGTGGGCTCTGCCCCCTCCCCCCAGAGTTTAGTTGCGCTCCCAACAGGTCTATGAGAGCGCATCCACTAATCCATGAGCCAATCTGTTGTGGTCAATACAATTGATGTAAGGTGGGATTCTGATGGGGACAGTTGGGATACTGATGTAAGATGGGATTCTGATGGGTACACCCAGGGGCGGACTGACAACTCATGGGGCCCCCGGGCAATAGGGGATCATGGGACCCTGTGTCCTTGCCCAAAGTCAAAAAAGCCTATGAAAAAGGTACCAGGGGCATCTCATGGGGCCCCCTACTGACCCCGGGCCCTCAGGCAGTGCCCGAGTTTCCAAATGGTCAGTTCGCCCCTGGGTACACCTGATGTAAGGGGGCACTCTGATGGGGACACTGACATAAGATGAGAATCTGATGGGGACCCTTGATGTAAGGTGGTAATCTAATGGGTACACCTGATGTAAGGGGGCACTCTGATGGGGACACTGACATAAGATGAGAATCTGATGGGGAACCTTGATGTAAGGTGGTAATCTAATGGGTACGCCTGATGTAAGGGGCATTCTAATGGGGACACTGACGTAAGATGAGAATCTGATGTGGACCCTTGATGTAAGGTGGTAATCTAATGGGGCACCTGATGTAAAAGCGAGATTCTGATAGGGACACCTGATGAAGGGGGCACAGGTTCTGTATAATTATTATCTAATCTAATGACCACCTAATACGTATGTGACAGTGCGAGGCTCTGCCACTATGAAAATGGCCAGGAAAAAGACACAGAGTTTGCATGTCTGCTTAGTGCAATGCTACAGAGCATAGATTTGGAGTGGAGAAATCTGCTTGTGCAGCTTTCTCTGGATCTGGGTATTGCTGGATGGGGCTTTGTAGTTTTTTTGAGATTCCTACAAGTCTTGCGCTGGATGGAATCTCCAACCCTGTGTCCGGGTGTTGTGGACGTTCGGCAGGGTGTGTGCCCAGGTGCACACAGCCCTAATAACGATGGGCTTGTGAGAGCAGGTAGTGGTGGAGGTGGAATAGCAGTTGTTATTACTACAAGCCTGAAGATAGAGCCCTGTCAGGAGAGTTGGAAGCTTTTGGTGGAGACTATAACTCTTGTGTGGGGGATTCTGGGCCCGAGGACTGGGAAAGTCTGGTCAGCTACAAGCTGGGAAGCTGCAGAGGCCAGTGAGTCCAAGGGGCTGGAGAGAATCCATGAGTCTATGGAAAAAGCAAGCTGAGGTACAGGGAAAACTCTGTCAAGAAGCCATGTGGGGCCTGAACAGCAAAGAGCTGTCACCTAGGCTGAGAGAGCCTGAATAGTCAGTGGTCTGGGAGACAAAGCCAAGCAGAGGTGCTGCTAACCAGAGAGCCAGGTGGTTTGGCATTTTCACTGTGTATTATTTTGAGTGAAATTGAAATCCCCTGCGTGGGATACCTTGTGTCAAAAGGACTTTTCAGTTCCTGTTTGATAAAAGTGGGCTACCAGACCCTTAATTTTAGTTCCTGTCTGGCATAAATTCACATAAAAATGCATCTACCACTGAGCTAAACATCCCCCGTATCACACATGCTAGTATTCTCTGTTCACTCCTCCAAGAGCATGATCAATATTTGGCGCATTAAGAAGGAAAAAAAAAAAACAGAGTTATACTATGAGGGCTAGTATATTAACCACACGAGTAAAGTCCAAAGGTGGTTAAGGAATAATCTAACAATGCTTGACTCAGTGGCAGCCAATTCAAAAAGAGCTAGAAAAGACTGTGTAAACCCAAAAAAAAAAAAAAAGTAGCGCCATCTAAGTGCAGCAATATACCGTAAGTAAATCATTTATTTTCAAAAAATTGGTAACTCATAATAGTAGTAATCAAATGACCACTTGTCAAATTGGTGTCAACCGCTGTCCAACTCCTTGCTGATCCTGCTGCAGGCAAGTCTCCAAAGCCCTTCCTTGGCTGTGCTGGTTGTTTCCAGTACTTTCTGGTCGGTATTTATTTTCCTGTTCACACCTGCACTACCTGTCAGACATTATTTCCAGGTCGTGAGCCAGCAGGGAACAGATGCAGCATTGGATCGAGGCTGCTTCCACCTAGCTAAGTTTGATTTAAAAAAAAAAAAAAACTTCTTAAATTTATTGAATCAAAATGCCACGTATTGTTGTTTTTACCAGTGCCTTAAAATGTGTGTTTTATGAATTTCTGACTAATCAAGTTTTCTTCATTTTCTTATTTTTCAGCATATATGTCTCATCAGTGAAAGTGGCAAAGAAAAATATAAAGTGTGATGGTCATTTCAGTTTTTACAAAAAAAGAAGTGTTTGTGACAGTATGGGGATAGTATGGACTATTTTAGAAGTGTATTGAATGACATGGAATTCTGGCTGTACTATAAATAAATCCCATTCAGTATTGTTATGCTTCAGAGTTTGTCTTTATTTACCATTGTCATCTGGATAAAGTGTTATACTGCACTGAAATGAAAGATGAACTCCAGGCAAATTGAGCTGTTTTATTTACTAAAAAATTTGAATTTCTGTCCATGCAGTCTTGAAATGTACACAGCTTTGCAACACAGCACATGTCTGACAGGGCAGGAGGCCAGTTTTTTTTCTCTGCCAAAGTGCAATAACACTTACAGGTCTTGTTCCTCTCCCATCCTGTGACAGTGAAGGAGAAGCAGCAGACTGATGAGGTCATCTCTCTTTCACTGTTTTTTCCTCCTGTAAGCACGTCTCTTGTCAGCACTTGAACCATTCAACTCTGTGTGCAGCTTCTCAATTTTCTAGGTCGAGTTCTACTGTACAATGAATTGCAAGAGATTGTCGTCAAGTCGAATTCAGCTTTTCACACTGCTTGTAATTGGTAATTGTCTGTTTTGCTAGTAGTACACATTTTTTGAATACTCTATTGAAGGTGTTAATTGGTATACAGAGCACTACATCCCTCCTATACAGTTGTGTTCAAAATAATAGCAGTGTGTTGAAAAAAGTGAATAAAGCTCAAAATCCTTCTAATAGCTTTTATTTCCATCCACACAAATGCATTGGGAACACTACACATTCTATTCCAAATCAAAACATGAAGAAAAATAGATCAAATTTGTGTTGTTCCTCTAAAAAAAAATTGAGGAAAAGTGAATATTAGACTGTTCAAAAAAATAGCAGTGTCTGTATTCTTCTTTACAAACTCAAACATTCACTATATAAACTGAAAAATGTTTGAAGATTTTGCTTTCCATTGAATCACTTAATGAATATTTCGTTGTATAAGCACTGTTTCTGAGAACTGCTGTACATCTGTGTTGCATGGAGTCAACCAACTTCTGGCCCTGTGAACAGGTATTCCAGCCCAGGATGATTGGACTACATTCCACAGTTCTTCTCTATTTCTTGGTTTTGCCTCAGAAACTGCATTTTTTATGTCACCCCACAAGTTTTCTATTGGATTAAGATCCGGGGACTGGGCTGGCCACTCCATAACGTCAATCTTGTTGGTCTGGAACCAAGATGTTGCACGTTTACTGGTGTGTTTGGGGTCGTTGTCTTGTTGGAACACCCATTTCAAGAGCATTTCCTCTTCAGTATAAGGCAGCATGACCTCTTCAAGTATTCTGATGTATTTAAACTGATCCATGATCCCTGGTATGCGATAAATAGGCCCAGCACCGTAGTATGAGAAACCTCCCCATATCATGATGCTTGCGCAACCATGCTTCACTGTCTTCACAGTGTACTGTGGCTTGAATTCAGTGTTTGGGGTCGTCTGACAAACTGTCTCCGGCCACTAGACCCAAAAAGAACAATCTTACTTTCATCAGTCCAGAAATGTTGCGCCATTTCTCTTTAGGCCAGTCAATGTGCTCTTTGGCAAATTGTAACCTCTTTAGCATGTCTTTTTTTCAACAGTGGGACTTTGCGGGGGCTTCTTGCAGGTAGCTTGGCTTCACGTAGGAGTCTTCTAATTGTACCAGTACTCACAGGTAACTTTTAGACCTCCTTTGATCTTCCTGGAACTCATTGTTGGCTGAGTCCTTGCCATTTTGGCTATTCTTCTATCCATTCGAATGGTAGATTTTCGCTTTCTTCCACGTCTTTCAGGTTTTGGTTGCCATTTTAAAGCATTTGCGATCATTTTAGCTGAGCAGCCTATCATTTTCTGCACTTCTTTATATGTTTTCCCCTCTCCAATCAACTTTTTAATCAAGGTACGCTGTTCTTCTGAACAATGTCTGGAACGACCCATTTTCCTCAGAATTTCAGAGGGAAATGCACTGTAACCAGCATGTACAACATTTGTTGCCTTCCTTCCTTAAATAAGGGCAATAATTGCCACCTGTTTTTCAAAGAATGAATGACCTCACTAATAGAACTCCACACTGCTATTATTTTGAACATTCCCCTTTCAATTAGTGATTCAATTACACAGAATCAGCAGCATGCATGTCATGACTGTTGGGTCTGTTGGATTTCTATTACTCTACTACACCTGCTAGTAAATTATTTGCCATGTAGAAATATCATTTCTACCAAAAACAGTGATTGATCAGGTTAGTGATGTCTGACTGCTGTTATTTTGAACACAACTGTACATGATTACAGGAAAAACAGAAAAAGATGACATTTGAGGTGCTATAACTGCCAGGAATTAATAGAAAAGAGCAACTGAAATATAAAATCAAATCATTTTATTGGACGTTATGCTAAAATCAGATATAAATAATGCACCACAGTTGAGTGCATAGGACACACCACTTACGTTAATATACGTTGCACACAAAGAACATATTGGGTGTAGCGCCCCAAACCCCCCCCCCCCCCACACGCACACTTTTCATTTTAATATAGCCAATATATACAACAACGTAGCCAACCCATATAAAAGATAATATCCGCTATCTTGCATCAAAGTTGCTATAATACTATGTTGGTGAGGTCCTGTATGGGCTTGGCCACCATGCTGCAACTCATTTTCAGGGTCTTGGCAATCTTATAGTCTATACCAACTTGATGTAGAGCAACAATTCTTTTTTTTTCAGTCATTGGATTCTGGTGTTCCAATCACCTCCACGGTCACAGATGTATAAAACCAAGCACCTAGGCATGCAGACTTCTTCTACAAACAATTGTGAAAGAATGGGTCGCTCTCAGGAGCTCAGTGAATTCAAGCGTGGTACCGTGATAGGTTGCCACCTGTGTAATAAGTCCATCCGTGAAATTTCCTTGCTACTAAATATTCCACAGTCTACTGTTAGTGGTATTATAACAAAGTGGGAGCAACTGGGAACAACAGCAACTCAGTCACGAAGTGGTAGGCCACGTAAAATGACAGAATGGGGTCAACGCATGCTGAAGCACACAGTGCGCTGAAGTCACCAACTGTCTGCAGAGTCAATAGCTAAAGACCTCCAACTTAATGTAGCCTTCAGATTAGCACAACAACAGTGCATAGAGATCTCATGGAATGGGTTTCCATGGCTGAGCAGCTGTATCCAAGCCTTACCTCACCAAGTGCAATGCAAAGCATCAGATGCAGTGGTGTAAAGCACGCTACCACTGGACTCTAGAACAGTGGAGACGTGTTCTCTGGAGGGGCGAATCATGCTTCTCTGTCTGGCAATCCAATGGATGTGTCTGGGTTTGGCAGTTGTCTGGAGAACGGTACTTGCCTGACTGGATTGTGCCAAGTGTAAAGTTTGGTGGAGGGGGGATTATGGTGTGGGGTTGTCTTTCAGGGGTAGGGCTTAACCCCTTAATTCCAGTGAAGGGAACTTTTAAGGCATCAGCATGCAAAGACATTTTGGATAATTTCATGCTCCCAACTTTGTGGGAAAAGTTTGGAGATGACCCCTCCCTTTTCCAACATGATTGCACCAGTGCACAAAGCAAGGTCCATAAAGACATGGATGAGTGAGTTTTGGGGTGGAGGAACTTGATTGACCTGGATGAATTAGAGCAGAGACGGCGAGTCAGGCCTTCTCGTTCGACATCAGTGCCTGACCTAAAAAATGTGCTTCTGGAAGAATGGTCAAACATTCCCATAGACACCCTCCTATACCTTGTGGACAGCCTTCCCAGAAGAATTGAAACTGTTATAGCTGCAAGGGGTGGGCCAACTCAATACTGAATCTTACAGACTAAGACTGGGATGCCATTAAGTTTCATGTGTGTGGAAAGGCAGGCATCCCAATACTTTTGGCAATATAGCGTATACATACATATGTATAAAGTCCATATTCAAAGTAGCATTAGGGGCCATAAAGAAGCAGAACTTTAAAAGTATTTATAAACAATAGAAAATTTTGACTGGCCCAGACCCAGTTCTCCACCCATCCCTGATCGACAAAAACATTGGCCTCAATGGATGCAGGTGGGTGGAGAGAGCTTTGAAATTACCTATCTGTTGCCAAGGCGAACAGCACTCCAAACATGGAGGAAGAGAGGGCCGATGAGGTCAGCTATTTCTACCCTGCCAAGGACCACTTCCCATCTCCTGGCCCACACACAAACCAAACACTAATAGCTGGACCAAAGCCAAACAATAGGTAAACACGTCTAAGCAGACCTTCTGCAGAGGGACCACAAGCCCTACCAGTCATCTCCAAACCCCTCTATATATACCCATATTCAATGTTCTCATAGAACAGGAGTCCATGGATCATGATAGTAAGCTAAAAATATCAACCACTTGAACTAAAAGCTTTACAGCCCCAGCCACTAAGGACTACAGAGAAACCAATAAACCTGCATGTCCACATGTCAATCCAACATCTCTAGCAATATTGAGATCAACTGGACGAACCTCTCTCACATCCCCACCCTATTAACGCCACTAGCAACTCATGGGACCCCTGGGCAACAGGGGATCATGGGGCCCGTGTCCTTGCTCAAACTCAAAAAAGCCTATGAAAAAGGTACCAGGGGCATCTCATGGGGCCCCCTACTGACCCCGGGCCCTCGGGCAGTGCCCGAGTTTCCAAATGGTCAGTCCGCCCCTGGATGGGAGTCATATAAGTTAGATTAAATAGAGGTGCACAAAATGTATACTTCTATGTGAAACTTTAACATGGATTCTTACCACTGCTCGGGGGAATGGCGTCTAAAAGATGCCGGAGGCACCAAGAACTTAAAATGGCCAGCATGGAGCCGAGGCATTGTAGTTTCTTTGGGGACGTTTTGCCCATATTGAAAGTCCCATTTTCTTGTCTTTAACCCTGTTTTATATTGAGTTGTTTGGGATGGAGTGCATTTTGTACTTCCCAACATTGAATATTTGTTACAAATATGAT